TTTACGGCTTCTGGTATGGTATCTCTGCAGTCCAAATAATCGTCGACCCAGTGCTGTTTCAACATGATGTCCATTATGTGCGGAAATTCTTCTTTGAACTGATTGGCATTGTGATTTTTGACGAATTGTGCTATAGAGGGCGAACATACCGCTCCAAAAATCATCACTTCCATCTGGTACACTTCGGGATCTTGAACTCTCTCCATTCCTCGAAATAAAAACCTTTGGCAACTCCTATCTTCTTTTCGGATAACAACCTGGTGAAACATCTCTTTGATATCACCACAGAATGCGTATTTCTTTTCTCTGAATCTCAAGAGTATAGCCAACAGAGATGGATAAAAGTCAGGACCTTTGAGTAAATAGTCGTTTAGACTCATACCATGGCTTTTCGCGGCAGCATCGAATACAAAGCGAAGTTTCCCAGGTTTGTTTATATTCCTTACCCCAAAATGAGGAAGATACCAAATTTTTCCATTATCTTCTTGTATCTCTTTGACGGATAACTTCCTAGCAAATCCCTTATCTACATATTCCTGAATTTTTTCACAATATTGTTCTGCAAACCTTGCATCCTGGTCCATTTTCTTCTCCATACACATTAGTCTCTTGAAGGCACATGATCTACTTCCTGTCAAAATAACATCTTCTTTCCATGGCAATCCTATCTCGAATCTCTCACCAGTTTTCCCAACTCTGTGAATAGTTTTCTCGAAAATGTGAACGGCTTTTTTGTCTTCTCTGGACATCATAGGGCTGTTAAGAGGGTCCGTATTTTCGATTCTAAAATTATCCTCGATCATTTTTGTAAGATAATCCTCATCATGATGGCACAGATTAACATTCAGTCTAATTTCACTAGCGATATAAGGGCCATGGACGACCCATCCTAGATTTGTTTTGCTGAAAGCAGGTTGGTCATATTTAGGATGAATTATTTCTCGTGTAGTCATGACATGCACATTGTCCTGACCAATTAGAATTTTTGGCACAACATGCTCTACTGATTTCAAAATATTTCTATCTAAGTATTGATATCTATCACATAGGTGGTCAGCGTCAATGTTTTGTTTAGGTAGTGATAAATTTCTGATTACTCTCGCTCTATTTATTTTATACTTGGTTTTTTCTTCATGCCCAGAGATCTCGAAATTGACCATCATCGAATTCTCATCGTTGTGGGAGATTTGATTAGTCCATTGTAAACAGACAAGGACAACTGGACCCTGCAACTTCAGTTTTCTTGCCACATCTCCATCAATCAAAGTGACTGTAGACCCCTCGTCCAATAGAGCATAGGTTTCAAAAGACTCTGTATCTGCGAATATTTTCACCTTAATGATTTTCAGGATAGCTGATGATCTATCGCCTACGTGACCAACGAATTCAGAATTTTCTTTTTCATTTGCTAGCTCCTCCAAATTATTGTCATCTACAGAGTTTCTTTCTGTAAGTTCTCGTTTCTCGTGTAAAAGACGATTGTTTCCTTCTGCATTTGTCAATGTTACAAAACGTTTTAGAAAAACATTTCTTCACGATGTGACCAGGATTTAAACATTTGAAGCAAAGATTTTTCTCTTGAACATATTTTACTCTTTCGCTGACCGACTTCTCAAGGAACATTTTACAGTTGAATAGTTTATGTTCTTCTAAATTGCATAAGATACATACTTCTGACTTTTTATAAACTATATTCATAACTTTTTCAGTCCTTCCAGAAATTTGTTTACTCTGGTATGATTGTATTTGGGATGAAGTGGATACAGACATTAACAGATTTACTTCCGACTTCAGCCAATCTGAGAAGTGTTTCAGGTTTACTCCATATTTTGATAACTCTGAGTCCATTTTTCGCAGCGCCCATGCTCTTCTAGAATTCCTCGGTAATTTTTCTTCAAGTTTCATGAGTAATTCAGGATTCTCCAGATATTTACTATTTCCAGTATTTACCATGGAAATTACCATATTGGAAACAGTTATGGAGAACTGTAAGAATGTATCTAACGAATCCTCCCGAGGATTTGCACAACGTCTGGATTTTTCAATTTGATTGATGATGATCCAATCACTTCTACCGAAATTCCAAGTTAATGTATCAATTATAGAGTCGACGTTTTCAGGACTGCAAAAAAGATCTCTCACAATATCTCGTGCTCGTCCTTTGAGACAATATTGAAGGCGACTCATATTTTCTGAATTTGATAGTCTCTTTTCAGCCGTAGTACGGCGAAATTCTTCCAACCAGAAAGGAAATTCATTAACATCACCATTGAAACTTTGAAGTTGATTACCTGACTGTCGATTCGCCAACTTTGCTAAATTTGTATTCAATTGTTTCATGCAATCAACAAGAGTAACATTTTCTTTCTCAGCACTTTCTCCTTCTTTGATAGATTCCAAGGACGACATTCTTTTCTTATGTCCCTTTTCATTTCCGTCTTCTTTTTCATTGAAATCTTCATTTTTATATTCTGGTTTTTCTTGAATTTCACATGACTCCCTGTTTTCTTCAACATTGGACACCCAATTTCTTATGAAAGAGTGTTTATCCATACTATATTCTCCACTAAAATAGCTCGACTTCTCTGAGTTGATACTTTTGTTCTTGACTGATTGTCTCAGTGATTCTTTTTCTATACTGAGCTTTTTTATTTGCAAATCAATCAATTGTTCTTTGACTTCTCTTTCTCTTGCTTCCAAATCTCCATATTTTCTCGAAGATCTGCTTTTGTGAGATGTTGATACATGACTCTCATGAATATACATAAATCCATTAGAAATCCTACAAAAAAGGTTCCTAAAAATAATTATGTCAAAACCGCGTAGATACTCCTCTGATGACCTATATAGTACATCACAGATCATGGATATTCGCCAGCTATTTTATTTCAATGTGTGTATAAGATATCATTTTAGTGAAGATAAAGCACCTCATCCCGACCACCAGTATGAAACCAGAGGTCGTCAACTACTAATGCAACCATTAGTGAAAAAATCACTATCACAGAAAAGTTACTCTTATATCGGCACTAAAATATACAACTCTATTCCCGGAAACATAAAATCTCTTAGCAACAAAAAAACATTCAAAACACAACTGAGATTTTTTTTACTCCAGACTCCTAGATTGTATTTTACTACTTTGATAGAGTCAAAATGGCAAAAACAATGACTAAATTATATACCATCTCCTTCTTACCTCAACTATAATCATAAGGAAAAAATTTTTTTTTATTGTATTTTTTCTGCATTTTATTGTGCTTTCTGCATTTATTGTATCTGTATAGTATTTTATTTCTTTTATTGTCTACATTCTATTTTACAGCATTTTATAGCATTTGATAGTATTTTATGGCAGTTGTTACCTTTAATGAACATATTGTAATTTCATTGTTCCTATATATTCTTACTTATAATCGAAACAAGTGCATCGCACTTATTGATTACCAACTTTATTTATACTACTACTCATATGTAACTACTCTTTACAATTCTTATTTCATGAATAAAGTTTATTATTATTATTATTATTATTACTCTGACGTTTTGAGGAACTTTCATTCCTGGTTTCAAATGGTTTTTCAGAATTCTGTATCTCTTTTATGGTTTCTCTGGAGGAATCCTCGTTCGAATTTCGCCCAGTAGTCATCGCCTTTATTCCTGTTAGTCGCTGTTGATGACCATCTAGACTGCTTTCTCCATATCTCCTTGGTGGTATTCCACGGTTCACTCGGTCACTTTTTCGAATACCGCGCTCCATTTCTGCTCTCTTCTCGAAGGACCAGTTGTTAAATTCCAAATGATGACACCTCTAGATGGAATCTAACAGTATTTTTTAAACCTTTCGGTTCCAAATCAAAAGTTGACGTGTTCCCAAAAAATATTTTATTGACAACTTATGACAAAACTCAAAAATCCCCATATACGGGGCATTGAATATTTCATTGATATTATTTCATTCACACTCTCCAACCTCCAGGCGTAATAATCCGTTTACTGGACGAACAAGAGTTCCAGAAGATGTGGAAAGCTCAACTGATCGAATATGACCATCACGACCTGGAAATACTTTTGAAACTTTGCGTTGTCAAAATACGGTATAAGACCATCCTGTCCAGATGCGTCTGGATGTGTGCCCTGGCGACGTCCGAGCTGAACGAATGTTATATATTGCAGTATCGTCTGCATACAATGCGCTACTCGTTCGCTCGAACACAGGAAGGTCATACGTATATAAAGAGTATAACAGAGGTGAGATACACGACCCCTGTGGGACTCCTGCCTCGAGTGGAAATTGCCTGGAGATGGAATTGTTCACTTTTACTTTAATTGATCTATAGGCTAAATAAGAGTCAATAAGCTTAGCAGCGAACATGGGCAACCCAGCTGATATTAGTTTGCACATCAACCCCTTGTGTGAGGCCATCTGATTTCCTCTCAAGTAATGCTGATCTATTTGACAGAGCTGTCATTGCTTGAAATTCGACATTCCATGGGCGATGAGTTTTTTTTTTTAAATAATAACAATTCGCGATAGAAAATAACACATCCCCCCATCTGACGGCAACAACTAGAACACTTCTGAGCGGTTTGTTTTGATGGTATGACCAATGAGCACGAACAAAAAACAAATGTGAACAAATGAAAACAAAGTGTACAGGCCGCTTTGACAGCTTTCAAGAACTCCGATAGGTGGTGTTCGCTTATTGTCTATCGTGAATGGAGTCATTGTGATATCAGATACGAAAATAAAATTGATGACATACAAAGTACCTCATTGATGTATCAAACACAGTAAAACAAAAGCAATTCTGTGTTATAGCCGTAGAAAAAATCACATGACTAGCTTATTTGTTTTAAAGTAGGCCTCCAATTATTAAAAGAAGGTGATTAATAACATACATATAACACATATGCTTATAGGATATTGTTTCCTTGTTATAATTGAATGATTCATCTAATATTTCAACTACTCTCTACCATTGTTTATTCTATTCAAGATAACATGAAAGACACAATTGTTGCCAAATTGGCATCTCAATGTGAAGAATTGTATGCCGAGTGTCTCAAAGTATTCCAGAGAGAAAATTTGAAGACTATTTGGGATAGAGAATGGATTCCAATGGTAAATTTATATAAATTGAAGTGTATCTTTTGGAAAATGTTATCAAAAATTTTGTAGATTGCCGGCAAACAAGCTGCCCTTGGAGCAGTGGCTGAATTCTACCAAAGCTTGGTGTGCAAAGCCAATAAGAACGTTGGCGAAGAAATTGCTAGATTGCAGGTAAGGTTAGAATAGAATGGAATATAATATTAATTCATTCAATAGACCATTTTACATTGGTATAGGAATAGTCAACAACAACAAAATCATGGAAAATCATGATTATACATTCACATGAAGTGTGGTTAATATAATAACAAACAAGCTGAAGGAAAAAAATAGTAGATATATATGCGGAATACATCAATCTCATTTATTTTTTGTTTTTATTATGATTAATAAAATCGTCAATGGAATAAAATCCCTGATTAGTAAGAAATTCTATCGTCTTTTGCTTAAGACTTTTCGGATTTGGTAGCGACCTGATCTCGATGAGCAGGCAATTGAAAAACTAGAAAAGTTTAGTTCTATGCTTTGTCATTTTTATTGAATCCCCATTTCTTGTGGGATATCTGTGCTGTTGACCATTAGTTGATATTGAAGCTACATTTTTCTTTATAAAAGTTGTTAAGCTGTGCATGTATAAGCAAGGAAGTGTCAGTATTTTGTTGTCTGAAATAAAGTTTACATTTATCTGGACCAAGACATTTTGTTCCATCTGAAGGTGCTATGGCTGCATCATTTACAGTAACATTCAAAGATCTTTCTACGCATTTTTCCCGAAAGAATTGAATGAGAACAGTTTTTCAGAATTCACAAGTAGTTTGTTACTTTTACACCAATTTGTGAACTCATTGGCAACTAAATTCAGCTCAACTTGGAATTCCAAAGGTTATCGGCTTCCTTAGCGATAGATGTATCGTCTGCAAATATGACTATGCATTCAGATTTCACGTGAAATGGTAGGTCGTTTATGAATAATAGGAAGATGAGTGGACTAAGGACCGAGCCATGTGGAACTCCAAGGTCAACACTGTGCATACCTGATCTCGCTTCAGCAATCTTTCGGAATTTGAGAAATTAATAGAGTCGAAGGCTTTAGATAGATCAAAGAAGAGTGCATCGATATATTCACCCTGGTCTAGGTGACTGTACACATATTCCACGAAGTCTGCCGCTGCTCCCTCCGTTGATCTACCAGGATGAAAGTCATTTTGACGGTCTGTTATTATCTTGTATTTGGTAAAATAAGGATTTTTTTTAATCGCTTGGAACGCACGAAAGGAAATCTCTATAATGTTCAAAGAACATCGTGCGTTCCTAGGAAGGATAGGGACAGGAGGTAGGTATTGGAACTTTTTTGAACTTCTGGAGATTATATGTTGTTGGGAATACTTCCTCAGGCAATGAATTCCAGAGCCCAGCCGTTCTATGGATGAAGGAGTTTTGATAAAGTGCTGTTCGACATCTTTCGAGGTTGACAACGAAAGGATGTGCTGACTGGGCTTGTCTAGTTCGTCTGACTAGTATTGCTAGTGAAAGGATGATAGCAGAGATTTCCGAAGAACATTTCCCGTGAAAATATCGGTAGAAAAGTGAAAGGTCGCCAACCTTTCTACGGTGTTCCAATAATGTCAAAGAGTGACTGAGTGTGGCGTCACCCACTAGGCGAATGGCTCTTCTCTGGATGGAATCTAAGAGCATCAGCGTATGTTTTGGTGCTGAACCCCATATGTGGGAACAGCATTCTAGAACAGGCCGTATCTGCGCTTTGTAGATCATGAGGAGCTGTTGAGGTGTAAAGTAGCTTTTCGCACGGAACAAGAATCCGAGTTTTTGTGAAGCAGCTTTTGTGATGGATCTGACATGATTAGTGTTGCTGATGGAAATGCCGAGCATAGATATGGTGGGCTTGGTGGGGATGGTGGTGCCAGACATTACAATATCGGGCATACTGAGTTAATGTTGGTGCCAAAATTGATCCTTGTGGAACGCCGGAATTGATGCCAATGGTATCAGACGATACACCGTCCACCACCACGTGAAGCGATCTGCCTGAAAGAAAACTTGATAAGAGATGGCATAGCTGAGGTGGTAAGCCGTATGATGGTAGTTTGTGGAGGAGTCTTTCGTGCCAAACACGGTCGAATGCTTTCGATATGTCCAACGCGACAGCTAGAGATTCCCCGTGTTTTTCTAATGAAGCTTGCTGTCTTGATCGCTATACAGGGTGTTGTTGAATCTGAAAGTATTAATTATTGTTTTTTTATGATTCCCCTGTGTAAGCTTTCATGGTGACAAAATCCAGTCTGCTTGGTGACTGATGAAGACTCAAAACTACAGAATGATACTTATTGATGGTTTTCAAGGTCATTAGATGACGTTGCGATTACATTTAGCAATAGTGAAAACAAATACGGGATAACAGGTCTAACTAACTTTCAATCTATACCAGAAGTTAGAAATGTTTTCCCTATTGTTAAACGTCATCGCAACGTCAGATGATGGAAGCAATTACATTAAAATTTAGTGTTAAGTCGAATAAATTCTATTGTTTTCTCAAAAACTGAGCAATATATGAAAGTTAGACAAGGAGCGGTAAAGTAGTACATATTTCCATTTCTTCATTTTTATGAAAATATGAAACCATAAATATCTGTTAACAAGGATAACATATTTTTAGAGAGCAACTGAACTTTTCAAATCTGCCGAAACCCGTTCTGGTAAATCACTGTTCAGTGAACTGGCCTCTAGGGCTGAGAGACATTTGGCTGAAGCTAGGAAAGACAATGATTTCATCTATCACGAAAGGATACCAGACATCAAGGCTGTAGATCCTATAGGAAAAGCTCAACCAGCAAAGGTTTTGCAGGTGGCTCATCCTATGAGCCAAAACTTTAAAGGTAGGTTGAGAGTTTTATTTAGCCTTGAAGTGTACTTTTGAAACTACAGTTATTCCTTATAAATTTCCTTTCCAAAAATTCTTGACTTGAGCTATTGTATTATTTCGAATTGAAAAAACTTCACAATTCAATTTTATATTACACAGTTACAATATTTTTGTTACTGATTCGAATTCCTTAGTATCATTGAGAGCAATGACAGCTGACATTGATAATATTAGTGACCTTAAGAACAAATTGTTGCCAACCTATGAATATTTATGGAGATCCAACTGATAGCTATAGGAGACTCAAAATAAGCAAGACGCCCTTTTGCAGATATTCATGTATCTGACAGAAAGTTTCCATGTTTTTTATCGAAAGTTTGTTCATTGTGATATTTTTCTAGTTTGGATCCTTCAACACTGTCTCTAGGTTAATCAAGGAGGTGGTACATTCATTTTCTGCTGGATTATTTGGATTTTTTCTGAATAAATGCATCAAACTTTCACTTGTCTGCCAGTGAGCAATTCATAGATTTATTAAACAAAATGGTGCCTGTCGTCATCCACCAAGCTTTGCCCCACCATTCGTGATTTCATTCATTTATCCGTGTTTGGCATTTAAGATTGTTGGCGTATACTTTCTCACCGATTTATGAATGAATCGCGTTGTTTGTTCATTGCTTTTAGTCCGAGATTTCAACTACCGGCCACCGGAACAAAAAAACGCAAAAATCTTTTTGACATATGGAATATCAACAACTTCTGAAGTTTGAAAAATAAACCTTGATCACTTTCGAGTTCATATACATTTCTCAACTCACTGAATGACCACTCATAATCTGACTCTATTTCAAAGACCTGTATTTTTTAAAAAAAATGACCGATCTTCATGCGGTTATCGATATCAGATGTGATATTTCATCGGCTTCAAAGAGAGCTAGAACACTCTGAAAAAGTCCGCAGAACAAAACTTACAAAGGGTGTAAAGTGGAACCATTACATTATGGTCTACATTTCCAATGCTGTCAGTCATATTATGATAAACTGGGACCTCATCTCGGGACATTTTCGTGGTTTCTCCTTAATTGGAACAAAAATTAGATCTTTTTTCGAAAATCTTGCATTTCTTGAATTTTTTCTGTAAAACTCCACTTGAGCTGAATACTGGGAAAAACCATTCTCATGTTTGTGGAGGACAATGAAATGCGAAAAAACCAAAAGTTGTGAAACACTCAGTATATTTAACAACAATACTCTGTGTCTCATACTTGGGCAATAAATATTGAAAATCAGTTGATAAGAATCATCGATATCAGGAAACAAGTTTAAATTGAGGATTTTTATCCTGTATTTCAATTAGAGGTGAATTTTCGAAAACGTCTGGAATTCATTGCCTGAGGAAGTATTCCCAATTTCCAGAAGTTCAAAAAAATTCCAATACCTACCTCCTATCCTTATCCTCCCTAGGAACGCACGATGTTCTTTGAACATTATAGGGATTCCCTTTCGTGCGCTCCAAGCGATAAAAAAAAATCGATATTGAGGAGGCCGTTTCTGAATATACTGAATCGAATGGGCCATGGTTTTGGTCACTGTTTTTATTTTTTTTACAGAAATGAGATTGTCCTATTTTCTTATCATCCTGTACATTCCACAATGTTGCCCGGTATTTAGCTCAAGTGGAGTTCTAGAGAAAAAATTCAAGAAATGCGAGACTTTCGAAAAAAAAATCTAATTTTGGTTCCAATGACCAATTAAGGAGAAATCACGAAAACGTCCCGAGATGAGGTCCCAGTGTATCATACATAATATGACTGACTTTTGATCTGAAAAAAATTTCTCGAGTTCTGGCAGCATTGAAAATGTAGACCATAGTGTAATGGTTCCACGTCACACCCTGTGTAAGTTTTGTTCTGCGGACTTTTTCATAGTGTTCTTCCTCTCTTCGAAGCCGATGAAATATCACATCTGATATCGAAAACCGCATGAAGATCGGTCAATTTTTTCAAACAATACAGGTCTTCGAAAAAGAGTAAAATTATGAGTGGTCCATTCAGTGTGTTGAGAACTATATTTTATTCAGCGAACTGGTGATAGTCGTCATTCACCAAGCGTTGCCCCACCATTCGCGATTTCATCCATTTATCCGTGTTGTCGTTTAGAATTGTTGGCATATACTGTTTCACTGATTTATAAATGAATCACGGTGCCTATTGATCTCAGGTTTCTAATATCGGGCACCGGAACGAAACAAACGCAACTATCGTATTTTGACATAAGAAATATCAACAAATTTCGAAGTTTGAAAAATAAACCTCGATCACTTTCGAATCCATAGATCTATTCAGCGAACTGGTGCCGGTCGTCATTCACCAAGCGTTGGCCTCTTACGACTTGAGAAAAACAGAGATCGTGAACACGGAAATCACCAACTTGCGAGAATCCACCCAGATGCTGAACGGGCTGTTGTCGAGCCTGAATTTGCCGGTCGCCATCGAATTAATAATATATTTTATTCAGCGAAATGGTGCTTGTTGATAATCGGAGAATTTTAGAGAAAAAACGTTTATATAAGAAATATTCTGACAAGTTTCCCAAATTCTATTTATAACAACCCTCTACAATCTGTCATATTCTCACTTGATTTTTCAACAAAATATACAGTATGTATATGAATTCCCAACATACTCCCACCTTTTTCAATTAAATTATTTTGAACTTGGAATTGAAAAATATAAATAATATTCAATTTCATAATAACATTCAATATTAGAATCGTTCTGGTGGTTTAACTAATCGACCAGCCCTTGTCCTAATCCCCTCGTTGCTAGTTTGTCCTTCTTCCTCGGTCGGTTCTTCTTTCCGGTATATTCTTTCTTCATGTTCTTCAGCTTTGTTTTTCGCCCTCTGTTGTAACCCTTCCAATTCAGGCTCCTGTTGTCTTATCGTATTTCTCACATTAAATGTCCACTGTGGTGATTCATTCCTTTCATTTGTTGGAATTTCCAGAGGAAATATTCACTGAAAGGGTCGGATCACTTCAGATTTTTCTAGCTTTATTTTTGCTACTCTTGAGACATTATCACGACCTGGAAATATCTGGCAAATTCTTCCTAATGGCCAGTCTACTTTCTTGGTGCTATCCGAACCTACTAAAACTATATCTCCTATTTGTAGATCCGCAGCTTTCTTTCGACCAGTATTGACCAGTTCTGCTAGATACTCATTTCTAAAACGTTTTCGTAAGCTATCTCTCAATTGCTGTAAATATCTATATCGTTTCACTAAATGTTTCCTATCAATAATATCTAAATCAGAAACATTTGAAAATTCTATATCCGGATGAAGAAACATGGATGGAGTCAAAGGTGTAAGGTCATCTGGATCTTCTGAAATATACGTCAGAGGTCGAGAGTTTATTGTAGCTTCACAATCGCAAAGTAAAGTTGATAATTCTTCATAATGTACTGAAGCTCTTCCCAAATTCCTTCTCAACAACTCCTTGACTATTCGGACTATCCGCTTCGGAGAATTTTAGAGAAAAAACGTTTATATAAGAAATATTCTGACAAGTTTCCCAAATTCTATTTATAACAACCCTCTCAGGTATGAAGCTGCTCCTCGCAAGATTAATCTCTTCACTCTCGACCTCAGTTCGTAGAAAATCTAATAAAAGTTGTAATTGATTATTAGAATAATGATTGTCAGTGACAGATGCATGACAATCAGTTGACAGTGAAACTTTGTTATGACTTCGATGCCTTTCCCACATCTTGAGAATCTCTTCTGGTAATGCTGACTCTGCTAATGGATACAGCATGGCAGCATATTTATCACGAGTAACTCCTAATGACTCTAATGCGCGTAGTTGCGTTTCTAATTTATCAAATAATGTAGTCAAACTCATACCTGATTTGTTTGTGGCTTGTGTAAGCACTAGATTCAGCAATTCTCTTACGTAAACCTCAATAAGAAACTCGTCTCTAGCAAACCTGGCTTTCAATTGATCAAGCGCTTTCTCATAGTTCATTCCAGAAGGGGGAAAGCTTTCAACAAGGTTCCTTGCCGTAGATCCTGGTTCCATTGCTTGAATTAGATACTGCAGTTTGTCTTCCGAATCTATTTCTTCATCTTCGTGGATCTACGAAATTGACCCCAGAATCCAATCCAATTACGAACGTTACCATCGAATTTCTTGAATTCTAACTTTGGTAAGCGGAACTTTCTCTTAGAATCTGCATTCGAATACCCATCCTCTTCGTGATGTCTCCCCAGCTCATTATCAGGACGAGATAAAAATAAGTCACATCTAGTTTGTAATGAAAGGAATTCTTCCCTGTAGACCTCAACTGCATCAAATTCCTCTGTTAAAGTCTGTTCTTCGATATCCTGAAGTAGAAGTAATTTATTCACTGGTTCATCTATTTCGAATAAACGATTGGCTTTATCTTCAAGTTGCTTAAAGCCAGACAATACTTCTTCTCTTCTAGGTTGCTTGCCCTTTAAAATGGTATCTATGTGGCTGGAACCCTTCATGAACATTCTTCTCAGTTGAGTTCTTTCTCTACTTAATTGTGTTAAATTCTCCATCGTATGTCCTGTCACGGTCGCCAAATGTTGATAATCGGAGAATTTTAGAGAAAAAACGTTTATATAAGAAATAATATTCTAACAAGTTTCCCAAATTCTATTTATAACAACCCTCTACAATCTGTCATATTCTCACTTGATTTTTCAACAAAATATACAGTATGTATATGAATTCCCAACAGTGCTAGTCGTCATTCACCTAACGTTGCCCCACCATTCGCGACTTCATTCATTTATCCGTTTATGTCGTTTAGGATGGTTGGCGTATACTTTTTCACTGATTAATGAATGAGTCGCGGTGCCTATCTTTTGTTTTTAATCTGAGATTTCTAATATCGGGCACCGGAACGAAACAAACTATCGTATTTTGACATAAGAAATATCAACAAATTTTGAAGTTTGAAAAATAAACCTCGATCACTTTCGAATCCATAGATTTATTCAGCGAACTTGTGCCGGTCGTCATTCACCAAGCGTTGGCCTCTTACGATTTGAGAAAAACAGAGATCGTGAACACGGAAATCACCAAGTTGCGAGAATCCACCCAGATGCTGAACGGGCTGTTGGCGAGCCTGAATTTGCCGGTCGCCATCGAATTAATAATATATTTTATTCAGCGAAATGGTGCTAGTCGTCATTCACCTAACGTCGCCCCACCATTCGCGATTTCATTCATTTATCCGTTTTTGTCGTTTAGGATCGTTGGCGTATACTTTTTCACTGATTTATGAATGAATCGCGGTGCCTATCTATTGTTTTTAATCTAAGATTAAGGATTAAGGAACGATAAAAACGCAACTATCGTGCTTTGACATAAGAAATATCAACAAATTTCAAAGTTTGAGAAATAAACCTGGATCCCTTTCGAATCCATAGATTTATTCAGCGAACTGGTGCCGGTCGTCATTCACCAAGCGTTGGCCTCTTACGACTTGAGAAAAACAGAGATCGTCAACACGGAAATCACCAAGTTGCGAGAATCCACCCAGATGCTGAACGGGCTGTTGGCGAGCCTGAATTTGCCGGCCGCGATAGAAGTCACCGGCAGCGGGAACGAAGTGCCGCCCTCTATATTGGAGAAAGCGCAGGCTGTTAGTTCGTTGGGCGGGCTAACGGAGTTGGAGAGGATGTTCAACGAGTTGCCGGACTTGCTGAAAAGGAATCAGGATATATTGGACGAGGTAATATTATAATGGACCTTCTCGGAAACTGTTGCTGGTTGACCTGATTCCTAACTTGCACGTTGATTCTTCTAATTTTGACGTGTAATTTGACGTTTTTAAAACTGACTGAAGTTTTTAAACGTTTCACTTAACGTAACCAGTTGTGTAAACTTGAATATTACATAACTGGTGATGAAATGTTCATTTCGACACCAGTTACGAAATAAAAATATGGATGGACGAAGAGAATAGTGCATTTCGTACTTCTTTCACGATATTACTTGGGAACTCTGAACTTGGAGCTATTTTCCACTGACGAAAATATGAAACGAATCTACTTCATTATCATGAGTATCAAACTCGTGCAGCGAACGTCTTGAGGCCAGAAATAGGCTCAACAAATCCCAGATGAATTCATTTAATATAGGAATCTATAATTTTCAGCCTCAAGAGTTCAAGATTCTCAATTATAACCGCTTCAAATTGAAACACTCCTACTTCTCGATAATTTGTGTTGATTAAATTTCTAAAACAGCAAAATTCATATTTTAGATTTGTTGAAAACGACTACTTTCCTGGCTATATGCCACGACGAACATTAAATTATATCTATTGAACACACACGATAAGAATTTGGGAACAAAATCTTCTGAAGTTGAGAATTTGCATCCTTATTATTATTATTATTATTATTATTATTATAAACAGTGCAGAGGCATAGCCTATTATAGCACAATATACAAAATGAGGATGTTAGGTAAGAACTAAGATTGAAAAGTCAATGAATTTCAAGAAACAATGAATCCAGTCTTTGATTTGAATGTAGATATATTTAGTGCACACACTACTTCCATTGGCAGTTTGTTCCATGCCTCAAAGGCTCTGTTGGACAGGAAATGGAGTCTATGGGATGTCCTAAATTGTTCCATCTTGGTTTTGTATGGATGACCTCGGAGGCGGGTGTCGGTGCTGATTTGTGCCATTCCTTTTGGGGAAGGAAACAAGTCATGTGTAACGCGATACATTTGTATTAAATCGCCACGCAGACGACGTGTTTGGAGAGAAGTAAGCCTCAGTTTTTCAAGACGTTCCTCGTATGGTAGGTTTCGTATCGATCTCGGCCAACGAGTCGCTGATCTTTGAATCCTTTCAAGCAGGTTAATATCTCTCACGAGCCAAGGGGACCATACTGGTGCGGCAAATTCAAGCGTGGGTCTCACATATGTTGTGTACAGTTTCTTAGCTAATTCAGGCGTAGGATTGGAGAATATTTTCTTGAGAAGATAAAGTGATTTATTTGCCTTCTTAGCGATGTTCGAAATGTGTTCCGACCAGCTTAAATCGCTAGTTACAGTGACACCTAGGTCAACCTGTGAGTTCCCGGACAGCAGCTGATTACCACATACACTATACGTGAGTTTCGGATTTGTTTTTCCGATATGCAAAATCGAGCATTTATCAACATTCAGGGGGCTGAGCCAGTCGACGCACCATTGGTTTATTTTATCCAAATCAGATTGGAGAGAAGCACTGTGTGTTAGCGGGTTTCCGAATATTTTGGTATCATCAGCGTACACACTAGTTTGGCAGTCCAGTGAAAACAGCATATCAGCAGTATAAACTAGAAATAAAACTGGCCCGAGAACGGAACCTTGTGGAACACCACTGCTGGCTTTACATGATATCAATACGTATATCTATTAAACACATAACAAAAACTAATTCATTCTCAGATGTCAGTTCGTTATAGTTTTAGTTATATTATAGAGAGATGAAAATTGTGAATATCATGAAGAATGCCTGTACGAATAACTGGACTTCAGGTTACTGAGGAGGGTTTGATATCCGAAATGAATTCATTGGAATAGTCATATACCCTGTTTGTCAGAGATATAATTCCTATATCACTGATACGAATGATTTTTTTGAAGTTTCAAGCTCATCAAGATCAGAGTTTATACAGGTATACTTCTTCTATACATTTCAATATTCATTTAAATACTGAACATATCCATAAGTTATATTTTTATAACATAATACATCATATTATTTATCTGATTTGAGAGAGAATGTCTATACTCAATTTCAGAGGATTTTTATTTTTCATTCTCTCCTTTTGGATGTTCAATAGATTCAATTCAATGTTCGTCGTGGCATATTAGTAGTTGTTTTCTGTTGAATATTCTTGATGATATTATGTGCATATACATATTTTTATCTGAAGCAGAATGCAAATTCTCAACTTCAGAAGATTTTGTTCTCAAATCCTTATCGTGTGTGTTCAATATATATAATTCAATGTTCGTCGTGGCATATAGCCAGGAATGTAGTCGTTTTCTTTTGAATCTTATCTGATATTGTTATAATTTGAATAAATATAAGATACATCTGTACGAACTGCAACTGAACTAATCCAATTTAATTTTGCCTCAAATCGTCTCCTACGACCGATCTCTTTCAGACGGACCGAATACTGAACGAAGAAAAATCCTCCGACGACGCCTTGCGGCAACAATTCAAAGAGAAATGGACCCGAACACCTTCCGACAAGCTCACCGAGATGTTCCGCTCGAACTCGGCCAAATACAGGTAGGATTGGAAACATTTCACTTTTAGGTCGCTAACTTTGGACACCCTAGTTCACATTGTTTCGCACATTTCTTTTTTCTTCGCATGTTGTTAGGCTATGTCTCAGTAGTATAAAACCAATTTCGCACCTTCGAAAGACCTAGGCTAAAAGTGTGGTGCTCAAAGAACCTGTAATAGAATATTCTATCTACTTACCCTCATCTACCTTATTTCTTCCAGGTTTTGTTGCTTTAAATTTATCTTTAACAGATGCATTTCATTAAATGTTTTTCCAATATTGTTTTTATAAAATATGCGTTTCACTTTATTTTTCGATCTTTTTCCTTGTTGTAATAATTCCAAATGAATCCTTCAGGTTTGACCGTTTTGAAACTGAAGCAACAAATAACAAAACAGTAGAACCGCAAATAATCAATGCAGGTGAAATACCCACGATAGCCGCATAGTTCGTCTGAACCCTGATTTATAGATTCAATAGTTTTGAAAATTTGCCGTGTACATGGTATATAATAGAGGCCCTAAAATATTGAATCAATACTCAAAAACTAACATAAGCCTTGTTTCTTCTTACAGATTTTCTTTTCATAAATTTGCTGATGATGAAGGATTAATCCCTCGAAACATGTCCTTATGTCTATGACCGTTGGTTATTATTAAATTGTTCATGTGGTGGAGTTGTGACTGTAAGTTATTTCAGCCCTCCTGATTTATATCAACTCCACTGTAAGTTATGGATCACCGACGTTGGTTAGAATGAATTGTCGCTGTAATTTGCTACTAACAAATTATCAGTATGACATCAAATGCTTGGTTAGAATTACGCATTTATATTGGTTAAAACAACGAAAACGTCACATTTTGACATGTGAAAAAAAAATATACGAAAATTTCAATCCAACCTTGATTTCAGGGAGATCATCGACAACGCCGTGAAGGCGGACCGGGCGGTGCGCGACAAGTTCGAGGCGCAGCGAGGCGGCATGCAGCTGCTGAGCGAGGGACCGGCGGCCATACGGACGGCGCTGCCTAGCGGCGGGGCGGGCAACGTGTTGGACTCGTCGGCCGCGCAGACACTGCGCAGCCTGATGGAGGAGGTGAGTTCGATTAAGTGCGATACTACCATATACCTACTAAACATATACAGATAACAAGGATCTCCAAGTGAAGCCAAAAAATAAAATAAATGACAGTCTGCGAGCACAACTGTATTACAGTGTTTGCGTTAGAACCTAGATATACAAGATTTCATGTTCATGCTGTTAAAACTAACAAAGTTATTGTGAAATTTTGAAATAAAATCTCCCCCTAGAACACCCTGTGTCTCCTAAACCAGCAACATTCTCATCAGGCATATTGGGCTAAATCTGATTATTTTTGTGTTTACTATCTGTTGTTCAGAGACTTGAATACATTATAAATCAATTTTAAATTACAGTATGCTCTTGAAACAGTTAGAGACATGTTGGCTGAATCTCAATTCATTATCCATGATGAGGCCCAGGTTCCTTGCTGAATCAACAATTTCTAACCGTTGAGGGTTTATTGATATTTCCAAGTATTCCTTGCACTGATTTCTATAATGTTGCCCAATATCAAAAGTTGTGATTCAGTAGGGTTAATTGTCAATCAATGGTCTCTAGAGACTTTATTCAGAGTCATAATAATAATAATAATAATAAAATTTATTGAATCCTTCACGATTATAAAAAATGACATAGGATACGTCAAACAACAAGAAGTTCACACACAATTCATATACAGATACATGAAAATATAACAGAACCACATAGTACACAGAATATTCAGTCTGTAACCTTTCCTAGTACCACAAAGTATATGAAGATATATAAAATGCATTTCATCCATTGAAATATTCGTTGATACTATAAAAACAACCGTTAATCAGAAATTCTTTGAGTTTAATTTTGAAATGATTTTCTCTTCTGTGTACATTTTTCATTTCATCAGATAAGTGATAATAGAATTTTGCTCCCTTATAAGAGGGACAATTTTCATACAGACGAGTTGAATGTTTCTGAAGTATTATCAATTCACCGTAGAATACGTATAAAAGTCACAGTTTCGATCATAATTCTGCATTTGTTTCCTGAATAATACATTTGTAAATATAAATGCAAGGTACACACAAGATTTTATAGTATCTAGATCTGTTTTGATAACCATGCTAGCAGCGTGGTCGAAAGATTGAATAATGAGAGAGACAATTCCTCAAGAACAAAGGAAAATTGGAAGTGTATAAAGTGAAGAGAAGTGGTCCCAGTATGGATCCTCACGGTACACCACTTGTGATAATCAAAATTTCTGAAAATATATCATCGATCTCAACTGCTTGTGATCGATTTGAGAGATAATTTTTTATCATTTCACAAGCACTATAAGTGAACCCAATATAATGTAAAATCGCTACAAGCAAGCGGTGATTGATACGATTAAACGCTTTAGAATAGTCCAACAGTACAAGTATTGATAATTTGTTGTCATAAATGGCAGTGAATAGGTCATCAGTTACTTTCAAAAGTGCTGAAGTACAACTATAGTTTTGCCTAAAACCTGATTGATTTACAGGTAGAATATTAAAGCTATTAAGATGGTATCTAAGTGCTTTCTTAGTGATGCAAGTACAAGTATATTTGATCTAAATCATTCCTTCAAATGAAATTCATCTTTGATCTTTGATTAAAATCGTTTCTGAAACGATTTGTGACAGATCTGACCGTTGTCCTTCGTAAATCCCTCAGGTAGAAACTATAAAAGCCGAGCGAGAAGCAATCGAATCGGAATTGAAGAACCCTACCACAGACATGAAGGACGTCTTCCTGGGCGCCCTCGCCAAAGATGGGGCCATCAATGAACCGGCCATTTCGTTCGAGAATCTGGGGAAGGTTTATGGGAACGTTCAGAAACAAGTCGCCGAGAGTATCGAGAGACAGGGTTCTTTGGTCGATAGAATAAGGGTATGTAACAATTTTAGTGATTTCATAAGATAGGATAAGAGTACAATCTGTATAATAATTGTTTCCGCATACGTCACAACTTCAAAAAACGAATCAAATCAATTCAAGGTCATATGTTCCAGTGAAATAGTGCCGTGATGTTTCAGAAATTGGGTTGAAATAAATGATAATATTCAGAAAATGTTAGCTAAGAAACATTTAAAAATCATAGGATTGGTATATATTTCTAGTTTCAACTCTTTAATTCGTCAATTTATTGAAGGCAAAAACATGTATCAGAACTTTGGTATGTATATACGTATGGATTGGTATATGGTCGTGGCAAAGCCGAACACTGTTGAATCGTTTGAGGTATTTTGTATATTAATATGCAGCATTTTCCACAAAACCACCACTATGGCCAGCATGAAGTACAATAAATCGTTCCCCATCATAACCTTCTGGTTTCAGAACGCTTTTTGTACTTTGATCTTGCCATGATCTCATCTTATTCCTTTTCGCAAATATCAAAGTTTCATCTAAAAAGACGATTTGTCTAGGGTAACTAGAATTGCGATTTTCATAATACTTTCTGAAAAACTCTGCTCTCATTATAGATATGTCCGTCTTCTCAACGAATAACCGTCTGTTGTCTTCTTTATTTGAATCCTACATTCGTGAGAAGTTTGCTCAATGTGCCTATACTTGCATCAAGAATGTGTTTAGTTCTGAGTTCTACTTTCAAAATTGTAAGAGTGATATGTTTTTCTGTAAAATAGTCAGTTGAAGGTGGTCAAGTAGTATCAAATGAAATCACTTACATTCTGCATAGATAGTAGTATAGAGTATAGATCACATTGCGTGGGTACTTCCATTTTCAAATTATCATCCAGATCTACTGTCTTGGGATTTTTAGTCCTTGATTTCCCTAGCGTACTCAAACTTTCGTTTCCCTCAGAACGTACTTCAATACTCGAAACTGTCCGCAGACTAATATTGTGGGCATCAGCGACACGCTAAAATTATGTACGTCATGATATTCTTAAAGTAAGGTCTGACTTTTTTTATTATTGATCAGGAAGGATTATGATTTACCTGTTGTATGGAAGTAAATGGGATTAAAGGACCATTATTATCTTTCTCTCTTGTGAAATATTGTAACAAATTCGATACAAGATACGCAAAACGATGTCATTTCAGCACCTACTGCACGCCTCTGATTTAGCCGATTCAAATGTGTCTCGACATAACGAACATCTATTTATTGCAAGTTTTTAACCCCTTGAGTTCAAAAATGATGGCGTAACTTATGTCAACAAACGGCATGATAGACATTGCTGCTCTATATGCAAGAGGATAGCAAGTTGCGCGTAGGTCTATGCTAATTTCAGTCACACGCAAAGAAATATTATACAGACTGTATGTATCATTTTTAGTGATTTGATATGTTTGCATTCTCATTTAGTCTTTCAGTTAGCGAGAACACAAATGCCACAATAGGCGAGTGGACTTTTTTGTTTTATTTCTCAAATAGAATCGTCACTACGAGGACATTTGAATCGGTGAACGTGACAACCGCGCACGACTCATAAGCGTGGTCTTGTCAGTTCTCAGCATTCAGCACAATGTTGCCAAGTCTCCAACATTCACAAGATATTTTGTTATGGTGAATAACAAATATTTGGATATTCTGGTTGCTCGAGACAGTCAAGAATGAACTATAATGTCATGAGTTCCTCCTATTATGTTTTATTCAACGACAGGACTCAAACATCTTTTCTCTTCATGAGTGGAAATAGAAGATTTCCTGACCAATAACGAAACAGCATAAAAACTTACGTCACCATTTATTCGACGTATCGCCAAATGGCGGCCATGACGTAACGTTTGAAATGAGCTCTGAAATTCAACGATTATGAACAACGCAACGCAGCAACGAGTTATTATTCACATAAAAAAGAGTGAGAAGTGACGTCAAAAATCAATTCAGGTTCCTTACGACACAGTGTAGTAATAGAATGCCAATAATTCATTATCAGTCCACTCGCCCATTCCAATAACCGGTCACTGCCCCTTGAGAAAGCATATGCATCAAATGGGCATCTATACAGCCGAACCCCCATGCAGACAATGCAATGGGGAGGAGGACACGGCCACCCATGTAATATTGGAGTGCGAGGCACTAGCGAGTTGGAGATACAACCTTCTAGGAGCACTAAACTCACATGAGGTTTTTCCAACGAAAGATTTGGTGAATAGGCTGCTAAACCTCATCAAGGTAGCGAATCTGTTCACCTGAGTCAACAGCAAGATCAGGAATACAATATGTCCAAAGGCTGCAGTGTTCAGGACTTTGAACCCTGACTGGTTATTCTGCTATAAATCAATCAATCAATGTGTCATTTTTAGTGATTTGATATGTTTTGCATACTCATTTAGTATTTCAATAGACGGCAATTCCATTTAAATGTGCTTAAAACTGATAACATGGATGCATCAATTTTTTTTTATAAAATATGTTGTATTACTTCAAAAAACACCATATGAATAACCGATATTTTCATAGCACGTTCCAACGTAGCGTTCTGCGGCTAACTCGTCTATCCAGTACTGAAGTCATAATCTCTTTTCCTGTGTTGCCAACGGATTTATTTTAGGGAAACATCAAGTTAATATTTCGAATCTATACAACTGTGAACTGTCGAAATATAGATTTTACCCCCATTGCCAATTCTACTACTATATAGCTGACATGATTACTAATTGAATAGGTTGTAGCACGTAGGTTGAATAGGTTGTAGCACGTAGCAGCAGTGACGAAATTCGGTCTAATTCTCAATTATTATACGGAGGTTTTTACAATCCAACTGAACGATTTTGGCATTTTTGCCATTGTAATGAACCTCCAATTCAGATGACATCACTTTAATATCCATGTCACAATCCAGTTCACAAGAAAACAAGAACAACTGAGTTTCAAATTGACTTGCTCAGTTCTTCCATGACCTTGAAATCAGAGCGATGAATGTTGAAATATCCAAACAAACTAAAGAATCTGTTGAGACGGCAGCGCTGTTCATCTCACTGAATAGTGACGTCGACTTTCTCGACTACGAATAGACGGTCGACGCGTTATAGTACTTGTGAAGTCAGTACCGCTGACGATTTTCCGTTGTTTTCTATCGGGAGTATTTCTTTGGGAATTCATTTTGGAATACAGAATTCAAAATAATCTATGTATATGTGAGATTAGTGTGCTTGTCCATTTTACCTGAAGGGAAAAATTCTTAAGAAAACCCTTGACATTCTGACCATTCCAACCCTCAAGATATTTGATTCCTCATTTCAGCACCCTGAAAGTTGATGTGTGTATTTGGAAAACAAAAAATCGATCTCTGTGTCCCTGTCAACTGCTTTGGGAAGATTACCAGAATAATCTTGTACAAAATTAGAACCTAGTTTATTCGTAAGTCTGCCCAACAATTAACGCGTGCCCAACAACTATAGTCAAATTGCCTTGTCATCAGTCATCTCCAAAGTGATGGGGAAAGCCATCAACAGTGAGCCCATCAAATATCTGGAAAGTATATCACCATCATTAACGATAGACAATATGGCTTTCGCCGCCGAAGATCAACTGGAGATTTAGTTGTCTACGTTACCCATATATGACATGTTTCATTAGAAAAACATGGGAAATCTCTAGCTATGGCGTTGGATATATGGAAGGCATTCGACCGTGTTTGGCACCAAGGACTCCTCCACTAACTACCAGCATACAGCCTGCCACCTCAGCTATGCCATCTCTTATGGAGTTGTCTTTCAGGCAGATCGCTCCATGTGGTGGTGGATGGAGTATCGTTTGATACCATAGCCATCAATTCAGGCGTTCCACAAGGATCAATTTTGGCACCAACATTGTTTCTTCTTCATGTCAATGATCTGTTGGGAGCAACCACTTACCTTATCTATAGCTTTGCAGACGATAGTACTCTTCATACTGCGTTCTCTTCTAGAATTCCCATTTCTTTCTGTGAGTGATGCCACACTCACTAATCCCTCGACCTCATCAGAACACCGTAGAATAGTCGGCGACTTTTCACTTTCCTATAGATACTTTCACTAGGAATGCTCCTCAGAAATCTGTGCTATTCCAGGACTAGCAATACCAGCCAGACGAACTCTACAGACCCAGTCAGCACATCCTTTCGTTGTCAACCTTGAAATATGTCGAACAACACTTTACAAAAACTCGTTCGTCTATAGAATGTCAAAGCTTTGGAATTCTTTGCCAATAGAAGTATAAGTCGCGTGCTCAAAATGTCAGATGTTCGACCCTGGAGGTTAAACAATCTCACTAACCTCAGTTTTTTTTGCTTACATGAGATTGAAATAGTTTTTTAACAATTATTTTGACATATGAATAGTGTTTTTTTGGGATATATATCCATTCAAGCATTCTATCACATGAATGCACAAAAAAATGCAGCGAGTGACAAATGAATCACGATTTTTCAAGTAGATTGTGATCTATAAGTACTGTACAGGGTGATTCACCATAAATGTCCCCCCCTCTAGCTCACTTATTTTTGAACCGATTCAAAAATTTGAAAGATAATCTAAAATGATTTACAGAGTACTACTTGATTTTTTCAAATTGAACACCCTGTATTTCATTGTATTTTCAGATTCTTCCTGAAGAGCTGATTTCATCAATGCATCACACTTGGGGTCTAGCGGGAATGATAACAGAAATATAGGGTGTTCAAAATCGAGATTTTTCAAGTTTAGAATTTGTTTTTCTCGAAATTATTCATTATTGGTCGAAACGGCTTCTATGTTTCCATCTCAACTCTTGATTTACTGTCTACTGACATTTAATTGGAACATTGACAGGGTGGTTCAAGAATCAGAATTCTGATCACCCTGTATCTGTTCCAATTATTAAATGTCAGTAGATAGTAAATCAAAAGTTAAGATATGGACATGAAAGCCGTTTTGACCGATGATGAATAGTTTCGTCTCAAAAAAATCCTAAAGTTGAAAAATCTCGATTTTGAACACCCTATATCTCTGTAATCATTCCCGCTAGACCCCAAGTGTGATACATCGACCAAATCAGCTCTTCAGGGAGAATCTGAAAATACAATGAAAAATAGGGTGTTCCATATAAAAAAATCAAATAGTACCCTGTAGATCTTTTGTTCCGAGTACCCTGTATTTTCTGATGTAGCGGAAAAGAACTCAATCAAAAATCATTCAAGATTATATTTCAAATTTTGAAATCGCTTCAAAAATAACTGAGCTAGAGGGGGGGGGCATATGGTGAATCACCCTGTACCTAGTCACTCACATTTAGAATTCCTTCTGCAATAGGAGCTATTAAAACGACTTGTAAAGTTTCCAAAAGCTTGGATTTGTGCAATCGAACGGGAGGACTGGTCTGAAATGAAGGTATGAAATACTGACGAATTATTATGGTCCAGTGTGTTCTAGACATTCAAGTAATTCTAAAGAGAAATGACAGATATCACTATGGTCGTGTGTGTTGTAGAAATTTTTACTGTATTAGCTCCTATTGCAGATGGAATTTTAATAATATGTATTTGCTATCAACTCTTTCAAGTTAATCCGATATACCGTATTTTAATGTAGATATTGTGTCTAATTTCCGAAAATGGAGGTTTATCGTACCTGTCCCCAGGTAAATAATCCTTCAGGCTGGGAAAGTAGGATATACCGTATTTCAATGTAGATATTGTGCCTAATTGCCGAAAATTGAGGTTTATCGTACCTGTCCCCAGGTAAATAATCCTTCAGGCTGGGAAAGTAGGATATACCGTATTTCAATGTAGATATTGTGCCTAATTGCCGAAAATTGAGGTTTATCGTACCTGTCCACAGGTAACTAATCCTTCAGGTTGGGAAAGTAGGATATATAAAAGTTGAGCAAGCCAACGTAAGTTTAGTTCATTGTACCAGTATATCACCTGACGAAGCTACTGTGTTAGCGAAACATGTCGTGTGTTTGAGAATTTTGTGGAAATCTTATCGTTTGTGAAGTTTTTACATTTGCCATGGATTTCCATCAAGTAACGGCCGAGTCAATTAAAAAAATGCTATATATACGTTGATCTGGATTCTTTATGTGCCTGTATTTCTCTAGTTTTGTATTATGTTATTATATATTGTATTTATCGACCTATATTATTATCCAATTTTAATATTTCAAGGGAAATGCTCTAGTTTCGACTAGTCTTTTCAATTAACTTTTTTCTTTTTGACCTGTCTTATGTCATTATTTGATATTATGAGATCAATAAACTTCATTCTATTCTTTTCTGTGATCTGTCATTAATAATCTTTAAAATATCGTAATTGCAGACGGCCCATGGTCAGTTCATATCAGAAAGAGGATCCACGGTCGATGGCAGAGAGAACATGATGTGTTCTCTAGCTTCCGCTCACGATTCGTTCAGGGATTTGCAGAACAATCTGAAAGAAGGAACGAAATTCTACAACGATCTCACCCAGATGTTGGTGACGTTCCAGAACAAAGTGTCAGATTTTTGCTTCGCCAGAAAAACGGAGAAAGAAGAGCTGCTCAAGGACCTCACTCAGGAATCGAGCAGGCAGGCGCCCCCTGTCGCTCCATCAAAACCAAGCTATTACGGTAATTTACAAAATAAGCAAATTTCGCATTTTCGTATTTTCATTCCTCAGCATGGTTTATAAGAATTCATCGATCAGGTTTTTTTTTTCGGCGATCAAATTTTAGTCCAGGAAAAATTTACACAGCTAAAAATGCGAGTAGTTTTACGCCAGTACAGCGTTACAAGATTTATCGATAAATCTAATCTAACATCATGGTACTTAGAATGACATATTCAACAAATAGTATGGGTGGAAATTGGATTTTTTCTTCGAACTGCATTCCCAATACCTGATGAAATGGGAATTATAGATGAAACATAAATATTAGAATAGCATCATAATTGGCGATTATAAAATTATAGGTATACAGGGTGTTTCATAATTGAATGTTAATATTTGGGGAGGCGATTCTTGGGCCCATTCTAAGAAGAAAGTTTCATATGAACGTATCACCTGAACGCCCTAACTTTTGGGATACAGGGTGGTAAAGTTCTCAAGAATTTCTTATCAATATCTGTAATACCACTTCAGATATTCTTATGAAATTTGGCATACATGTACTATGTATCAAGAGGCATCAGTTAGTGTACCATATTTTTTTTGGTTGCCACCAGTGGCGTTCGTATGGAATTTCACATACCTATTTTGGCAGACATTGATGGTACGCCACTAATTGATCTCGAAATTGGAATCATTCCTGAAATACCCAATAATTTATAAGCAAATTTGTTCACCATTTTTTCAATCTGATGCGCGTTTTTCGCTTAAAAAAATAAAAAGGTTTTCACTACAATATCGTTAATATGACAATATCACAGTGCAGAGAAATAGATTTTATTTATTAGAACAAATTTCGGAAATACAATAATTCATGTATATCAAAGACTGGAACCTTTGGCACGATAATACACTACACTGTTTTACCACTAACCAAACCGATTTTTTAAACGCCTCGACACGTGTTTCGCTAACTATGTTAGCATCTTCAGGAGAAGATTAAAACTAAATATCCTATTCTATTGTGCTGCTTATACAGGGTCGCTGATTTGTATGGAAACATGTGAATATCTCGGTAACCAGTCGTTGGATTTTTTTGAATTTATGTGCAGTGTGATTTCAAAATGTGGCGGATTTGAAAGTGTTATAGCCAATGTTGCCACTTTTTCAGTTATTCCGGAATTTTATTAACTTCCTCATTTTGACTAAAACACCCTGTACTTTATTGGATTTTCAGATACTCCTTGAAGAGCTGATTCCATCAAGCTATCACACTTGGGGTCTAGCGGGAATGATTACATAGGTATGGGGTGTTTAAAATCTAGATTTTTCAACTTTAGGATTTTTTTGGATCGAAACTATCCATTATCGATCAAAACCGCTCTAATATTCCTATTTTTACTTTTGATTTACTATCTACTGACATTTAAATGGAACAGATACAGAGGGCGATCAGAATTCTGAATCTTGAACCACCCTGTATTTGTTCCAATTAAATGTCAGTAAATTGTAAATCAAAAGAAAAGATAGAAACATTGGAGCGGTTTCGATCGATAATGGATAGTTTCGACACAAAAAATCCTAAAGTTGAGAAATCTAGATTTTAAACACCCTATACCTATGTAATCATTCCCACTAGACCCCCAAGTGTGATAGATCGATGGAATCAGCTCTTCAAGGAGAATCTGAAAATTCAATAAAGTTCTGGGTGTTCCATTCAAAATAAGGAAGTTAATAAAAAATCCGGAATAACTGGAAAAGTGGCAACATTGGCTATAACATTTCCAAATCCGCCACGTTTTGAAATCACACTGTACATAAATTCAAAAAAATCCAACAACATGTTACTAAGATATTCACCTGTTTCCATACATATCAGCGACCCTGTATACTAGGTATATGTTCACCCAACCGTGAAAAATACTAACCGTCAGGTTAATGTTTGCGTGGTCGAGTAAGCTTTCATATGCGTCTAATTTTCTAATATTATCAACTTGCTTAACTAATTTTGAGGTTAGTAATATGTGTCATAACAGTGGTGGTAAAACAGTGTAGTGCAATAATTCATAGTTTATGAACTTCATATTCGTATTTGGTATTTTGGAATTATAACTTTTCATTGTAGTAGGGTATATTAATTTTTGAGAAATTTACCACCCTGTATCTCAAAAGTGAGGACGTTTAGGTTATACGTTCATATGAAACTCTCTTCTTGGAATGGGCCCAAGAATCGCCTCCTCGAATATTGACATTCAATTATGAAACGCCCTGTATACAACATAACAATGATGCTGACAGCTTGTTTTTGAGATTGATCATTCTAATTTGGATTTCTGATGAAAGATATACATAAATTTCTACAAGAAACTTATAACTTGAGTGGCAACAGTGGTTGTAAACCTGATTTACACTATACTGAGATGTATTTTGTTAACATCTTTGTTGAAGGTTTGAGGTTAGATCATAATGACAGCTGCCTTCTTATCTTTATTTTCGGGTAAGTAGGCATGAAGGAAATAAGTCAAGTAACTGTCACTAGAACTAGGTAGTACGGCATTTTATTCTAAATTGCTGTATTTTGAAAAAAAAAATAGTTTTAATAATTCGAAAAGCCATTTTAGACATAAGAAACCTAATACTATATTAACATACAAAAAAATAATGGTGTACTGTACTGAAGTTCCATATGGGATAGCGACTGAAACCCTTCAGAGCATTCCTAGGTAATTTTTATTTTTTCTGGATTTCCAAGATTGCGACGATAGTACAGGTGCGCCAAGGTCGATAACATGAATTTATCATTAGAAGACCAGTTTACCGAAGTTGTTGATGCACGACCGGGCGTAAATTGCCACTATCGCTCGGTTTTCCGGGCGTAAAGTGACACTTTAGCGCCCGCGGACTACTTTATCGCCCGACGGACGGCGTTAACGTTACCTTCTTTCCATATGCTCCATGGGTGTGACGGCACAATATCAAAACTTCCTTCTCTGTCATTGAGCATATGGAAATTTCGAATGCAAATATCTAATAATCGTATGAAATAACTCCTATCTGACACTGTATCGTTGGTTTCGTTATGATAATCCCTAACCGATTATAGAATGAAAAATACTTATTTGTCTGTAGTTTGTCATGACATGTGTGTTTCACTTGAACAAGAATCATTCCAACCTCTAAGAATGACTATATCAATTATTGTACCTACTGCATTTTATATGTTATGCAATACATGTTTTTTTCTGTTTCGATGATGATGAGGTTAGATTAGGTTCCATGTTAGTAACCTAGCAGGAGCAAACAAAGCTCTTAATGGCCCAGAACCCTTCTGTGGTATTGCGAAAGCTATACAAAAAACTAGTATCAAATCATGGATGCAAACCAAATCTCAAGAATGGTGGAACAACTCGCCAGGAATGAGACAGGCTAAAGAGTTTATTAAAAAACCATCGCCAACATTCACAGAATATCTACTAAGCCAGAAACGAAGTTCAACTAGAATACTAGTGGGACTTCTCACAGGGCATTGTAGGCTCAACAAACACATGAGTACGATAGGTCTGACTGGAGAACTGCTGTGCAGGTTCTGTCAAGAAGAGGAAGAAACAGCAGTACACATACTTTGCCACTGTGAGGGCTTGTCAAGACTAAGGTTCCTTACGCTGGGTGAGGAAAAACCAGGAGCCCAGAGATACACAGGAGATCTGAAAGCTAGCCTATGGAGTCTCATAGAGAAGGCGGGGCTAGCCGAAGAACTCTAATCGATTTTGAGGGCAGACACAATAGATCTGAAAAGGTCGCAGTGTGGAGGCAGATAGCCCGAAGACCCCATTCCAAATCTAATCTAATCTAATCTAGTAACCAAATCTCCACCGCCGGAAACTTCTTGTCCTGTCTGATGAGATTACGTCATATCGTTTAAAGGTGGCGGATAGTTTCAAGAAATAACTAATTTTTGAAGGTATTTTTTTCATTATCTCATCTTCCACGTTCTTATGATAGGAAAAACCTACCCATTAATTTTTCGTATGTCAATATAAATCACGCTATATGTACAGGGTGTCCCTAAAAGGTGCGGAAAAAAAACTACCACAAGTTCCTGAGGCGTAAATATGACGATCCAACTCCACTTACCTCAGTCCAAAAGTGGATGATTTCAGAGATACAGAGTGTCAAAAGTTCAATTTGATTTTCATATTTTATTAATATTTTTCTTTATAATCGGTGTATTGTCACAATATTCGGCTTGGGGGGGTTTTGCTGGTTGAGAAATTAGAATTTGCTATCATTTTTATTGTGAAGTTAAGAGGGCGCCACCTGCGGAACCTTGCACACATTCAAAACGAAATAACTTTTTTGAGCCACCCCATATTCAATTTTTAAATGAAAATTCGGATTGTCCTACGTCTTTTACATCAAAAATGTACACGTGGTAAGAGTTGATTTGAGCAGCTGTTTTTGAGATATCTGGATTTTAAAAATTCACTTCGTAAATGGCCAGGTCTAAATTATTGTAATAATAAAATTGAACACATTTTGAAGCGTAGGCGGTGAATTAAAATAACATCACTAAAAACTGACTTGGGTCAAATCGAATCTAAAAAACAAGTCAAGACAATTGTCATACAAATAATAAAGTTTTTTTTGTCATGGCCGCAATGTATACCAACGAAGAAATGACCGATATGTTATTGGTTTTTGGATATTGCCAGGGAAATGGTTTAGAATCTTGCAGAGTATACAGTGAAAGATTTCCTAATCGTCGCTTACCAAACCATAAAACCTTCGCGGCAGTTGAAAGACGTCTTCGTGAAACGGGTAGGTTTGCGCCTGTTTCTATTAATTATGGCCGTGCACGTACGGCAAGAACTCCAGAGGTTGAGGAAGAAATTTTATATAGGATTGAAGAAAATCCTTAATTCAGCAGCAGACGATTGGGCTTAGAGCTAGGGGTATGTGAAAATACTGTAAATAGAACGACCAGAGAACAACTACTGCACCCACTTCATGTTGTACAAGATCTTCTACCCCATGATTTTGAAGCACGCCTAGCTTTCTGCGGGTTCTTCCAAGAACACAAAAATCAAGATAGGAACTTTACACGAAGAATTGTATTCACTGATGAAGCCTGTTTCACGCGGAGTGGCATTACTAATTTGCACAATGAACATGTATATGCTGAAGAAAATCCCCATGCGACTAAAGTAAGTAAGTGTGGGCAGGAATCATAGGCACTTTCATACTTGGTCCTGTCATTCTACCACCTCGACTAAATGGCGAAAATTATTTGGAACATCTGCGAAACGAATTACCAAACCTATTAGATCCCCGCCTACCCTTAGAACTTCGCAGGGTAATGTGGTTTATGCATGACGGTGCTCCTCCGCATTTTTCAATTAACGTACGTAATTATTTGAATGAACAGTATTCAAATAGATGGATAGGTAGAGGCAATGACGCACCTGCAAATTGGCCAGCTCGGTCCCCTGATTTGACACCGATGGATTATTTTTTATGGGGAGCTCTGAAAACCCTTGTGTATTCTAGGCCAGTAAATACAGAAGATGATTTAAGGAGACGTATTCAAACTGAAATTGACGCTTTAAGAAATGATGACGAAATGCTCCAAAGTGTTCAATTCAACTTTTTAAAACGTATTAATCTTTGTACACACGAAAATGGAGGTCATTTTGAACATTTGTTAAAATCATTTTTTTAAATTAAATTAAATTAAACTTTTGTTGTTGATAAATCTCCTATTCCTATTCCTAATGACTATTTTTACTAGAGAATAAAATTACCAACACATTTATGTACCTACTTCTTTTTTTTTAGTTTTTAGTGACGTTATTTTAATTTACCGCCTACGCTTCAAATGTGTTCAATTTTATTATTACAATAATTTAGACCTGGCCATTTACGAAGTGAATTTTTAAAATCCAGATATCTCAAAAACAGCTGCTCAAATCAACTCTTACCACGTATACATTTTTCATGTAAAAGACGTTGGACAATCCGAATTTTCATCTAAAAATTAAATATGGGGTGGCTCAAAAAAGTAATTTCGTTTTAAATGTGTGCAAGTTTCCGCAGGTGGCGCCCTCTCAACTTTACATTGAAAATGATATCAAATTCTAATTTCTCAACCAGCATAACCCTTTCAAGCCGAATATTGTGACGATACACCAATTAATAAAAAAAATATTTATAAAATATGAAAATCAAATTGAACTTTTGACACACTGTATCTCTGAAATCATCCACTATTGGACTGAGGTAAGTTGAGTTAGATCGTCATATTTACCCCTCAGGAACTTGTGGTATCTTTTTTTTCGCACCTTTTAGGGACACCCTGTATAATGGGATAGACCACTGATTTTTTAAAACGACAATCTCGTGAGCTAATGAAATGTCGCACATTGGCGGTATAGTACTTAGTCACTTTTGCAATAAGAGCGCTAACACCATCCAACCGAGACATATTAACTGCTTCATCTATCTTCTTAAGAATAAGTATTTCTTGAATGAATATATTTTAAAATATTGTACTGCGAATCACGTTCATTATTTCAGTTGTGCTGATTGGTTTCCGTCTCAGCTTCCCCATAATGAAGGCGTCCATGATATTTTCATGGTTGTCTTGTCTTAAATTGTCTTGTTCTATTCTAAGCAAGGCCAAAAAGTTCAGCCTGTCTTCTGACATAGAGGTCCGGAGCCTGTTTTTTATCAGCTTATATTCACAAATCACAAATTCACTATAGCCCTGTTCCTTTGTACATTCTCAATCATGGTATAAAGTATCAAGTATATGCACGTAGAACGTACTATCTACGATAATAAAACATGACAAGTGACATTATTTTGTATTTTTTGTGGTGCGGGCCCCTAGACACGCGCCTATGTCGCCTATGCTTAAATCCGCCCCTGAACACTACAGATTCGATTCCCTTCAACTTTAACTTACAAATTGGTGGCTGGTATAAAGATTTCGTTCATCATTAGGATTTCGCTCATCATCAGGATTTCGTAAAGCGTAAGAGGTAGAGGTTCGGTTAAATTATGACAAAATTGCTCAATTTTATGTCTAACAAAATGTCGTTTCAATATTTGAAGAATTCCGAATACTTATGAAAAAAAAACGAATATTCGTGATGTCATTTCAATTTTTTTATGACTCTATTTGGAAAGATGTAAGAAAACAAATCACACATTCTTTTTGCTACTTTTTCTTTTATACAAGATAGCGTCATCAGATTTTCAAACCTACGTTTCATCTTTGATCTGCCATCATCAACTTTGTTTTTTAAATACGGCCCTGGATTTTTTATTTTGGTTTTTAAGATCTCTCAATTTCCTAAAATCGCACTTGGTTGCGTAACTTTGCCATAATTTAACGGACCCTGATTTGAAGTATTACTTTATATTAACTTAAATGTGAAACTATAGTGAACGCAAGTGAACTGTATTGTCAAGGTATGAAGGTCTAAAATAGCTTACCTCGATTTCATTTGCTGACCGGCGTAGTACCATCAACCATCTCGAATGGTGAATATTCACTGAGTTGAAAGGCAGGAATATTTTTCAGGAAAGGTGGAAGTAATTTGGGAAAGTGATTAGGAAACAGTGATTTGTATATTCAAACTCTGATAGGTCAAGACACTGATCGAAACAATGTTTTCCATATATTTTTTGAACTCGAATTCATCAAACAAAACTCGAAGTACCGGGCAGGTTTTACTAATAATGCTGACTGCTGTAGGTCCAAGCACAGCACACTCGTGCCATTTACGATAAGCCCGTTTTTTCGTTCACCTTTGACTTGCGCCTCAGGTGGATATTGTGATCACGTTAATTAACAACAAGTATAGGCTTCAGCCAGAATAGACCAAGTATCTCTGACGGTTCACGAGATCATGAAGATCAGGCTCGAATTCTAGCCACCTAGGTTCGGACGAATTTCATCCCTCAGTGGTCTTCCCCATGCCCCCATGCGATCACATCACCGCTTCTACATCCACCCCACTTTGTTTCAGACACGATAACGAACTATTTTACAGGCTCCTCGACGGACGGTGGCCAGTCCGCCCCCGCCACTTCGCCGCCCCAGCAGCCGCCCCAGCAGGTGCCCTCCAGCCTGCCCTACCCGGTGTACGCGCAGGGCATGCCCTTGCCGTACGGGGCGACCGCGCAAGCGCCCTACCCCTCCTACGTGCCGCCGCCCATGCCGCAGGGGTACAACCCGTACGGCACAATGACGTATCCAAGTGAGTAGACAATAATAATAATAATTTTTGGATGTATTGTTACGTTATTCGGGTGCAGAAGCGAACACGACACTATTTATTTTCGAACCGATTTATTTTAACTGAAGAAACACTTCTGATATCCACTGATGAATCTGAAATATTAAACCTAATCAGTACCCTCAAAAAAAAAAATGTCCTGATCCAGATGGTTTAATCACACGAGATGTAATAGAATTGAAAAACATTTTGGTTGAACCATTAACACAATTAATCAATAAATCATTGTCAACAGGTATTTTTCCACATGAATTGAAACACACCTCATTAAGGGCAATATACAGTGTGTCCCACTTACCATGCTCACCATGGGTATCTTTTTAGCGGTGAGAGATACGAGGTCGGTTAAATGACACCAAATGTGGAGTTTGTCAAGGCCAACTATAATGTGAAAAAATATTTTGATAAAATCTATTCGTTTTTGTTTTATACGCAAAAAACAGATTTTGATTATTTTCATGTCTCCTCCGTAACTTCTTTATTTATGAAAATATTCAAATAGGAATTTCACATTCTCGTGGCAGTTTTTCAAAGTGATTTCTAAAAAAATATGAAATTTATACCAACTCTTCTAGAATTAGAGATATCAGCACCAACCTTAGTTTTTCAAATGTAGGTCATAGCTCACTATGACATAGTTAAAAATAACTTTTTTTTCTCACAGATGATATGTCGCAGTAATAGTTTTGTGCTGATAACAACGGAGTTATTGTCATTTATACAAAAACAAAAAATTATTCGGAAGCCGCCATCTTGAATTTATGAATTTTAACAAAAAAGTCTCGATCTCCGACCTCAAAAACCCCCACTTACCAATTTTGTATGGAATCGGACCAAATCTTGTCCGCCATCTTGAACCAGCCATTTTTTTTTAATTCAACAAAAATTCCATAATGTATTGTCACCGAAATTATGAACACCTGCCAAATTTCAAGTTAATCGGAGTTATGGAATTTTTGTTGAAATTTAAAAATATGGCTGCTCCAAGATGGCGGACAAGATTCGGTCCGATTCCATTCAAAATTGGTGAGTGGGGGGTTTTTGAGGTCGGAGATCATGATTTCTTTGTTAAAATTCATAAATTCAAGACAAAACTATTACTGGGACATATCATCTTTGAGAAAAAAAAAAGTTATTTGCAACTAAGTCATAGTGAGCTATGAACTACATTTGAAAAACTAAAGTTGGTGCTGATATCTCAAATTCTAGAAGAGTTGGTATAAATTTCATATTTTTTTCAAAATCACTCTAAAAAACTGCCATAAGAATGTGAAATTCCTATTTGAATATTTTCATAAATAAAGAAGTTACGGAGGAGACATGAAAATGATCAAAATCTGTTTTTTGCGTATAAAACAAAAACGAATAGATTTTATCAAAATATTTTTTCACATTATAGTTGGCCTTGACAATCTCCACATTTAACCGACCTCGTATCTCTCACCGTTAAAAAGATACCCATGGTGAGCATGGTAAGTGGGACACACTGTATAAAAGCGATGAGGCTCAAAATCCGGTAAATTACAGATCAATAGCTTTGTTGAGTATCGAAAATACTTGAGAAAGTTATAAAAAAGAGAATTGTTGACTTCATCAATGAAAAAATATTGGTTTGACTTGAATCAATTTGGTTTTCAAGAGAAAAGTGGTACACAGTAAGCAGTTTTACAAGTAATCAATTTTATACAAGATAGACTTGACAAAGGAAATCATGTAGTAGCTATTTTTATGGACCTAAAAAAAGCATTTAATACAGTTGACCACAATATTCTCCTGAAAAATCTTAATTCAATGGGCATCAGAGGTATTGGAAACAATCTTTGAAAATATATCTAGAAAAAAGGACTATCAGTACTAAAATCAATAATTGTGAATCTAAAATACTATATATAAACAAAGGAGTCCCCAAGGATCAGTGTTGGGCCCAATTCTGTATATTTCATACATTCAAAACATTTCAAAAATAAATTCAATAGGAAACTATGCCATATATGCAGTACTTTTATTTGAAAACAAAAACCCTGTAGAAAACAACATAAATGAGGATTTGAAAAAATGGAAGAATGGCTATACTCCAATCTTCTTTCCCTTAATTCTAGTAAGACCCAATATATAATTTTCCATCGAAGAAATAAACAAAAGATTGATTTGAATGTTAGAATAAAAAATGAAAGATTGAAACAAACTGCCTATACCAAATACCTCGGTATTTTGATTGATGAAAAGTTAACATGGGACAAGCATATTGGCATGCTCAAAGAAAAAAATTCCCCTATGAACTATCTCATAAATATTTGGGGTTCACGTTCTACTATATAAAAAAGTATTAAAAGTACTGTATCGTCTTCCATATGAGACCGCATCAAATCAACTTCATGAAGAAACAAATACATTTTCTCTGGTAGAGCACTATCTGATAAATACTCTCAAAATTTCTTTTGATATCAACAAACACATCAAATCTAACTTCATATTGGTAAGGAATTCTCAATTCCATGAACATCATACTAGACAATATGACTTGTTTCATCTTGATGCTGCTAATTCTACACTTGCTTAAAAAAAGTCCACTCACAGAGCTATCTCAGAATTCAATGAGTTACCTGATGATATCAAAAGTTGCACAAATATCACCCAATTCAAAATTAAAGTCAAGAAACATATCCTCTTGCAAAGAGAAAATCAAACCAGAGTGAATGATTTCTCATTCAATAATTTATTTCATCATGTCATAATGTACTTTCAATGAACTTTTTGTTTTATCATTATATTTTTTTTATTCTGTTGTTAATTTCAATAATTATAATTTAATTTCAAAACGCATGAATAATCTCATAATAGATATGAATCTGTCTTATTATTCATGTTATTCCATTGTAAATGTTAATGATTATATTTATATTTATATGAGATGCAATGTAATGTTTATAGCAAAGAATGAAATAAATAAATGATAAACACAAAAAAAATTATATACAGTATGATGCAAATGTATGGAATGAATTCATTATTTCAGAAATGGGCGACATATGAAAAAATTCCAAAAACACGTGAGTTCTAATTTCTGAAGCCTCATCCCATGATATTCATATAAGAGATGTTACATCACCGGTGTTGGAGTAAAGACGTAATGGACGATTTTTTCAAATACAAATAGGGGTCATTTGACACCTTGATTGAAAGGTCTACTGATCGTCTATTCAACAGTCAAAATGTTGCATAGGAAGATTGAAATTAAAATGGATTATCATGTGATCAACTGAATCTTGCAGAGGTCTGCAACTGACAATTGAACATCGAAAAAAAAGTTCTGAACTCTAGTTTTTGTTTATTTTTGAAAGTCGTCTTGTTTTGAAATAAATTTATTCCATACATTTGCATCATACTGTATATAAAGAAATACATTGAGAATTCGCATTTCTTAAATAGAACTCACCGATTCTGGAACAGTGTTAACCATTTCGAAATTGAAGTTGAAAAGGTATAGTTGTATGGTTGTGGTGACTACTATTAATTTGGAAACCCAAATTTCAATGCTCATCATTCGATTTCAGCCTCGTACCAATTCCCGCAAGGCCCGCCCCCTGGCGGCGCCTACCCGGGCCAGCAGCAGGCCATACAGACGCCGTTCCCGCCCGCCCCCGGTCAACCTGGGTATGGTCAACAGCCGGGCGGCGGCTATCCTGGGGCCTACGGCGGCCCTGGATCGTACAACACCTGGCATTGAGAACGTAGGTCTGTCGGCTGAGAGGTTATGTAGCATTGGCCTTGTTAGATGACATTGATATTCGTGCAGGGAAGGGTCCCTTGATGCAACTATGAAACTATGCCTGGTATAATTTATGAATTTTCCAATTTTGACAAAAAATCATAAAGATCGACCCCGAAAACTCTCAGATACCAATCTTGAATAGAATCAGATCACAACTAGAAATTTCTTTTGCTATATATTGGATCCGTCGTCTTGAAAATTCCAAGTTTGACGAAACAATCATTATCTTCAACCCTGAAAAACCCCAGATACCTTCCAATGTTTAATTAAATCGGATCATAATAACAAAACTCTCCATATGATCTTCCTCAACAAGTAAACACCCTGCACATTCCTATTATTAAAATTTTGAATGATTTTCTGTAGCGCCCTAGACATCTCACAAAATTTTAATTCCATACTTTATCTCAATACGACATTATTCAATTCTGTTTTGGAAGGAATGTAAAATGTGCTGCGTTAGGCCGTATCAATTAGTTTGAATTTGTCAGCTTTCCATCAAATGCAAATGAACTTAGAACAGAACATGGAAAGTGAAGTGACCGAATGGGGAAAATTGGTGAATACAACAGCAAAATATTCGACGTAAAACTAATATGAAATCACATATTATACTTTCTCATTGTGCCTATAATTATCCACTCCACAAGTTTTTGAATGCATTTTAGTAAAAACAGTTTTGATCAAAACGGAGGATTAAAAGAAGAGGCATATGCCCTACCATTTAAAAAAGTATACCTACATTCAGGAAATATTAAGTGTTCATGAAAAACTGCAAGAATGATTCCCAACATGAATATATACAGCACACATGACATATGAGCACTTTAGTTTGAATACCTACATACAATTTTTCACCATTTTCAACCATAAGGCTTAGACTGAAATCAAAATTCATTTATTGATATAGGTACTTCCTAAGAACAGTCCCATTTGGTAAAACGTATGGAACTCAAGAAAAATTTGCTCACTGCCTCACAAAGATTATGCTGGAGTTGAAAAATCAAAAACTCGAGAATTATCATCATCATTTGGATATAATATGTGGAGTTGAATGAGAAGTTACATGTGAAAATTACGTATGATCCGCCAATGTCCTGAATATAACCTGAAAAACAATAAATGTTAGAAATCTAGTGTTTATCCCCAGAAATGAATAAAGATGGAACTATATAACTGTTTCACAAACACTTTAGAGTGAGAGGAGACGATTATCTGTCCGTACCCTGTTAAGATGACAAATACGTCAATTTACATCAAGGGATCCTAGTGCAGGGTAAAATGAATAGTTATTATATCGAAGACTGGAACCTTTGGCACGATAATACACTACACACTCTTTAACCACTGACTAAACCCATCATTTTACGATTCGACCCGTGTTTCGCTAACTATGTTAGCATCTTCAGGAGAAGATTGAAACTGAATGTTCTATCCTAGTGTGCTACTTATATACTAGGTATATGTCCACTCCGTGAAAGACACTAACTGCCAAGTTTATGTAAGTCATGTTGAGTTCACATGTTGACCTTGGTCTTATATCACTAAACTATACAGAAGACTGAATGGGATAGGTCCATTATCCTTATTCATTATTCTATTACTATTCTTAAATATCTCTAAGCTTCTATGTGCATCTAATTTTAATTCTAAGCTTTCATGTGCATCTATTTTCCTATAAGGAATAAGGATAATGGATCTATCCCACCGTATAGTTTAGTGATATAAGACCAAGGTTAACATACAACCATAACTAACATTAACTTGGCGGTAAGTGTCTTCCACGGTTGGATGGACATATATACCTAGTATATAAGTAGCACACTAGGATAGAACATTCAGTTTTAATCTTCTCCTGAAGATACTAACTTATTTAGCGAAACACGTGTCGAGGCGTAAAATAATCGGTTTGGTTAATGATAAAACAGTCTGTAGTGAATAGTTATTGGCGGATTTCATGGTCATGATCTGACGTCGCCATGACGTTTAGCAATAGGGAAAATATCCTTAACTCCTGGCATAGATTGCAAGTTGAACATGCTTTTTCTATTGCTAAATGTCATCGCAACGTGATCTGATAACCAAGAACATTATATAGACTGGTCGGTAATGACTGATTTTTTGCAACGTTCTTCAATGTTTATAACTCTCAAGTAATGATTTTCATGGGTTGTCAACATGTCCTAGATAATTATCAATGTGTTCTCGCATGCAGCGGCGTCACCAATCAAATTTGCATTTTCATTGAAATTTGATTATTTCAAATGATTAGTAAATGCCTCCAAATTGGTTTATGTTGAAATTTGAAGAAAACGATACCGCGGAAAAAATTTGCTCACGCTGCCCTGGTGTAGGAATTACCGAAATTATTAACTGAACATGTTATAGAAAGGGGCCTATTGTGGAGAAATTATTTAATGTGTGGTAATGTTTTAAACATGCACTTTTCTTGTGATTACAAAAAAAGTGCAGCCTCAAGAGATGAAGAAAAAATCGTGAATATTGAATGTTGAACGGATCACTGACCATAATCACAACCAATGAATAGTTTACAAGGTCCAAAAAGTGAATGTGAAATATTGAAAATTTCAATTTTTACTGCCTATAATTTTGCATTTTTTCAGTAGGTTGTGCGAAATATCCATCAACAAATGAATAAGGGATCCATCATCTGCAAAAGTGCAAAATATTGCTAGTGTTCCGTATAATAACAAAGAATTCGGTAATGTAGGTATGAATGATTCAAGGCGAATGTAATGAAATTAAATCTTGTATTGTCCTTGTGGTTTGAAATCTTAATAACTTTCTCATTCCAGATCACATTCTAATTGTTTTCCACAGGCAGACAGTATTTAAATGAAGAAAGTTGTTAGTTCCAATACGTTTTCCATGGAAATATTTGTTATAAAAAAATATTCTAATTACTGAAGGTGGCTCATGGGATGTGAACAACGTGTCATTTGTCACCTATTGTGGAATTATAATTCAAGCAAACGGTGTCAAAAAATGTCTCCTCATTTGCAAAAATATCTAATAGTCAATTTTCTAGGTTTATCTAGAGGTTCTTAATCCGATCTGATGAATGTTGGAATATTTGCAATAAAATATTTGAATGTTCACACTTCTTTGGTTTTTTGTTGATAATTTGAAAAAGTAAGAATAGTTCCAAAAAAACACCATTATTTCCTTTATAATATCATATCAATGTCATAAACGTGGGCAATGTTTACAAATTATAAGTACTAACATAATCATGTTCAACATGGCTGTAGGTTTCATATTTAAATTAATAATTTAGTTGTATGTTGTTTCTGGATATTTTTATATTATGGTCTACCTATTATGCTATATTTAGTGCCTGTTATAATATTATTATCACCAATTGGATAAATATTTTTTATCATTGATATTTGTTTTTACTTCTCGCACTTCCATTAATATTTGATATCACTGCTTTCGATTCTACATGATATTTTGAAAAAGGAAGGAATATGGATCAAATTAAAAACGAATCCTGTTTTGTCATGTTTAATATAAATTTCAAAATCTTTATACTTATTGATGAACACTATGGCTATTTTCCGTCAAACTTGTCTAGAGGATAATGCTCCTTATATTTATCCATGTGTTCTTTCATGTCTGCTTTTTGTTTCCTGAAAAAGAAATATCATTAGGAAAAAATTAACAAACTGAATATGCTTAAAATTTGAATAAAAATATTGCACAACAATTATTTGAAGTTCAAAATAGAGTACAAGAAAGGGAAATTCCAGTACAACTAAAAATTCATTAGTTTCTGATTGAACTTGACAATCAACAAGTGAATGACTTCATTGAACTGTAATCACGGCTTTTATAATAATAATGATAATAATAACAATTGAAAATTGAAAAAAAAAATTGCATAGGCATGTTACAAAATTTTTTCAATGTTCAAAAGCCGAAGATCAGGATGCTCTTCAGGTCCTCAATAGGAATTCGTCGTTAGTTCTTCAAAAAATATTTAATTTATTTTCTCTTTAACTTGAACCTCCAACGTGACATCTTGAGTCATAATATTATATACGGTGTGTTTCTTAAGAACCTACGTGTAGAAAATTCAGGAGCATGTTTCTGACGTCAATATGAGAAGAAAAGTTTGCATAAACATATGTCCAAAATTTATCCGTTTCTGAGATACAGAGTGTCAAAAATTGAATTCTTATTTTTGCTTTTTGTTAATAAATTTCAAAGGAATTGTGATATTGGAATGAGAGTTGGTATCTAGAAGTATTTTTCGATGACAATATCAAATTTTATGTTAGTTTGTTTCATTCGTGGGGGTGGCGCCACCTACATTTCCTTTGAGTCTTTTGAAAAGTCATAACTTTTTTGCGCGTACCTGTATAACGTTTTATAGTAGACGAATAGATTTCTAGTTATTGGGATTTGAAATAATCAATGCAAGTAATTTGGAATGACAAGAAGTTGGAATTCAAAATTGATTTAAGGGAAATTATTTTGCTTTAAGTTCATTAATAAATAGGAATCGGGTGTTGCTACAATATAATACTGATAATGATAACAGTAATTAAGACCAAATTGATACTAAAACAGTTAGTTGAATAAGCTTGGATCACAAGTACAACAAACTTCACTGTCTCAAGAACAGATTGAAATCATCACATGACAAGTAGGTACTCACTTGATTGTTATTTTTTTAAATTGGAAGAGGCCAAACAAGTAGGTACAAAGAAGTATAAATCATACTTTGCCTATATTCCAATGTTGAATGTAGGAGAATATTGAATGAAAGAAGAAAAATGCACTGGCGTATCTTTTCTGATATTCACTATAGAGGCGACTTACGAGCCTCATGAAAATAATTCAAATGCATCGATTATTTCGAATAACAGTTGCTCGCAGCGACCTCTACCAGGAATATATTTTCACACAAAAGTGTTCTAGAAATCAATTTTCCTACTATGAAACGTTATACAGGTACGCACAAAAAAGTTATGACTTTTCAAAAGATTCAGAAGACATGTAGGTGGCGCCAGCCCCACGAAAAAGACAAACCAACAATAAATAAAAATACCCCTAGATACCAAATTTTATTCCAATATCACAATTATTTTGAAATTTATCAACAAAAAACAACAATAAGAATTAAACTTTGACACTCTGTATCTCAGAAACGAATAACTTTCGGACATATATTTATACGAACTTTTCTTCTAATTTTGACGTCAGCAACATTCTCTTGAATTTTCTACAGGTACTTAAGAAACACCCTGTATAATGCCTTTAATATTAACGAATGAAAACGAAGGTTAACATTTCTCTATGGCTTTTAACACTATCTTCCTAGTTGGAATGAACTGTTGGTATCACAGAAACTCAAATGGAAAGAAAGTAGGTATCTAAAGCAAAGTGTTGAACTGATCCATATGAATGTCAAAAGAATGAGTTATAATAAGTACAGGAAGTATCTGAACGTCATGCATTCATCCTGATTTGATGGAGCAAAATGTTGAAAGCCGTTTTTTTTTTCAAAGTGTGGGGGTGAATATTAATCATTCTATATGACTAAACTATATCTAAAAAAAGTGTGTACTGGGCCTAGTCGGAAGAATCATCAATGAAGCAGATCGGCGAAGGAGATTGAAGCCATTCAACCCTTGTGCGCTGATTTGAAAATATTCTATTTGTGCGAAACGTTGCAGTCAAGTATGAAATAAGTCAAGGTTATTATCTAAATAAGAAAAAGATCGGAATAGGAAGACAAGAATATCGGAATAGGAAGAGAAGAAGGCGAGAAGAATCTACAGATAGGAGTCATGCTAGCAATTTTACCCCGAAAGCGTGAAATCCCGTACCCGGTATACATTTTTAATATGATACACTTGTACACTTGTTCATAGCATTAATAAGCATTAGCATCAATAAGCATGAGCATTAATAAACATTAATAAACACGCTTGTCATAGTACTTACTGCAAGTGAGGCGGAACGAACTTGTACACTTCATCGAACATCACCGACCAGTGCGGTTTGTGCTTGACTTCTCCCGCTTGGAAGGCCGCCATCACGTCCTTCCGCGCCTGCTGCTGCCACTCTTTCTCCTTCTCTTTGTCCCACAGGCCTCTGCTTTCCATGTGGAAGCGCAGCTTGTCGGTGGGATAGTCGTTGGTGCTCCATTGCTTGACCTCGTCCGGGGACCTGTAGGCGGAGCTGTCATCTGACGTCGAGTGGTCGCCAACCCTAGAAAAGAACATTTTTGATGTTTCGACTACTTCGAACCCCATTTAGGCCCAATGTACTCGTTTGGGTACATCTCACACATTCACTCAAGAAAGCTCTAGTACGTGAAGCTTCCGTCTGACGTCTAGAAAATATAATTTCGAAGTTATGATGATTCGACAGTTTCAAACCTCATTTGTTCCCACTGTACCCGTTTGGGTACATTTCATAGATTCACTCAAGAATGCTCCAGTAGACGAAGCTGTCGTCTGACGTCGAGTGGTCGCTGACCCTAGATAATAACATTACGAAGTTATAATATATCGACTAGTTCAAAGCCTCTTCATTCCCATTGTACTTGTTTGGGTACATCCCATAGATTCACTCAAGAAAGCTCCAGTAGGCACAGCTGTCGTCTGACGTCGAGTGATCGCCGACCCTAAAAAAGAACATTTTGAAGTAATGATGTTTCGACTACTTCAACTAGTGATGCCGCCGAGACGAGAGAAGGATTTTTCTCTCGAATCTTGGGGCGAGACGAGACAGAGGAAAGTCCACAAGAGAGACGAGACGAAAGGAAATACCAAGAGAGACGAAACGAGAGGAAATATCACGAGAAAAGCGAGAGAAAATGAGAGAAAATGAAAATATTGTTTATTAACTTTTATGTTTGATAATACTCTAATGCTCCCAGTAGCTAATCAAGACATTACTCTAGAAATCTGCTATTAAGAATTTCCACGCATGGAATCATTGAAGAAAGACAAAAACATTACTTGAATATTCTTATTTCTTGGAACTTATAACGAACAAAGATACGTCAATATGTAAAATTGCTGCCACTCTTTCTCCTTCTCTGCATCATACAGGCCTCTGCTTTCCATGTGGAAGCGCAGCTTCTCGAAGGGATAGTCGTTGGTGTTCCACTGCTTGACCTCGTCTGGAAACATGTAGACGGAGCTGTCGTCTGACATCGAGTGGTCTCCAACCATAGAAAAGAACATTTCGGAGGCATGGTGTTTCGACTACTTCGAACCCCATTTGTTCCCATTGTCCTCATTTGGGTACATCTCATAGATTCACTCGAGAAAGCGATCTCTCGCATTGAAACTGACAGTCACATGGAAATTAGATGTTAACACGTGGGAGCCTTACTTGGAAAAAGTTCTTCACAAAGCTAAAATATCCATATGAACATGTCGAAGGATTTATGTGATGATTGTCATGTCAACGATCACATATGAGATTAGGTTGGGTATTCACAGACAGGCTTGCCTAGCGATCACTTTGGCCATCAGCACCACACTACGAGGGGCCATCAGCACCTCACCACGAACAGCTAAGACAAAAAAATGCTAGAAATATTGCAAATTTCACGAATCAGGGTTACGGAACGTAGCAGACTACTGGTAGATACGAAAAGCCACATCTGCGAATGACGTATGACATTGTCTTCAACAGTTACCTATGACCTGCCTTATACCGTCCTAATTCAGAGTAGAGATGACTGGTTCCAAGAAGAGGAAGAGCAGATAACTGTTCGCACAAATGGTTCAACAACACCCTCAGGCTTTGGTGCGGGTGTATACGCGGTCACAGACATATGACAGAGATATCAACCTGTCTAGAGTCGTTATGCATGTTATGCATGTGTGAAGAGATTGAAGGAAAGTAACCTCACATGGAAAAATCAAAATATTCTCGGATAGCCAAGCGGCTTTAAAAGCTCGTATCGATCAACTTCTATATTGGTATCGAACTGCAGAAAAATACTCCGCTGTAGGAATAAAAAATTGTCTGGCCTCGATTCCTGGCCACTTCTGGAAGGTAACGAAACGGCAGAGTCCCTTGCAAGGGAGGGTGTCGCAAGTGGGCTAGAACCTGCCATTGGCATCTTATCAAATTATGCCAAATTTAATATTATACTGAACACTTGTACTGCAAGAAGAGTTTCAGACTTCTGGCAGAATCTACCAGGATTAGCTCACCACAAGGCATTCATACATCCTTCGAAAAATGTCACCAAGCAAAAAGCAGAGCAGAATTAGTATGAGAACCATAACCTGAAGCGAAGAGAATGTTGAATAAACTTCTAAATATTTTATCAATCGAGAATGTTTTGATCACTTTCACAATATTAATGAAGGTTTTTGTTCAGAATGCCCCTCCGTTGGTGCTCACAACACATTCTGGCTCATCTAATGATTGAAAACGGGTCGTCGCTTATGAATCCAGCTGTAGTCAAAATATTTCTATGGTTTGTAGTTTATTTCAATACAGTAGGCTTTTCGGTTCCCATTCCCCAAAGATAATAGTGGTCAGGTGACCTCGGTGGCCAAAGAACTGGACAACCTCTTGCAATCCACTGGTGATGAAAGTTGTTATCTATTGTTCATATAACTCCTTAACTATTGAGTTTGAGACAAAAGTGTATAAGGCACTTTCGACTTGGAATTATTGAAGAAATATGTCCTTAATATCTAGTCATCAGACATCCTATATAATAATATGATTTGTTATATGCCCCATCAATTCCTGAATCAGTATTTTATTGGACGTAGACCTGTGGTGAAATTCGCGCTGGAATATTTGATACTCTTTTGAATAGAAATAGTTATTTATACACCAAGGTAGTAAACAATATTATTATATTACCCAGGGACCTAGCTTATATCTCGAGGCTCCAGCCGATGAGTATAAGGCCCCGTGGTAATAATCAATAATTATATTACATTCTTTTCACCATTAGCAATATATTTCATTCATTTTAGTTCTTTGAAACCGAAATATGGACCTGTTGTCACTATGAAAGCACTATTTTCAATGATTATCCATGACCATGACAACATATGACAAGTCGTTATTGATAAATACATACTATAGATTCAAGTGCCATTCCTGCGAATCTCTGATGAGAACAGTGCATTCGGGTTAATTACTACAGAGGTGGCTATGTCTTCATCGACGAAAACTACCTTGGTAGTAACAACACACTTTACGCCTCGGAAAGTAGTATACAATGGTAGGTTTTATAGCTAGTGGTGGAAAAAATAAATAATCCACCAACATAATTATTATGAATGTACCTGAATATGGATGAAAACGATTTCCAATTCATAATTTTACCGACATCACATGGCAAACGATATCGGCGATCAGAGGATATTATAAAGGAAAAACTGGAAGACTGAAAAGTCCTCACCTGTAAGTCATCGCCTCGATGAGCACGGGCTTGCTCTCCCGCAGCGCATACTCCTTGGCCCTCCTCGTCGCGTTATAGACGGCAAAGACGTCGTTCCCGTCCACCCGCACTGTGTGCATGCCGTACGCCGGCCCGCGCGCCGCCACGCCGTCTCCCCCGTACTGCTCCTCGACGGGAGTGGAGATGGCGTAGCCGTTGTTCCTGCAGAACATCAGCACGGGGCAGTCGAGGGTGGCGGCGAAGTTGAGGGCTGCGTGGGCGTCCCCTTCGGAGGCGGCACCGTCCCCAAAGTAGCAGATCACCACGCGGTTTCGGCCTTTCAAGGCGTACGCCGAACCTACCTGTGACAAAACTACGATGTTGACATTTATTTCGAGATGAAAGGGCGAAAAACATATTGAGCCATCTTACCCAAACTATCGGGGAAGATGACTCACTGTTGGGAAAGATGGTTCACTAGTCTAGTATCTTAATACATTCATCAAACCTTCCAGAATATCGGGCAAAGATGACTCATCAATATTTAGACATACCTGAAGAGAATAGCATAATTATTTTGGTCCATTACCCAAAATCGAACAGGCTATAGATAATAATGGAAAGAAACAATCAAATGCAAAATATCATTCACCTAAAAAAAATTACTGTGAATGTATCATTTTCTCTAGTATTTGTATATTGCCACATAGGTGTCAAAAGTCCTGGTATTGAAAACAAAGGTTTCATGATGCAGTATCAGAACACGGTAACACCATGCGTGTTTTTTCACGTTTCACAGACGAGAAAAAAGACAGGAGAAACATCACGAGACAAAGAAGCAAAAAACAACTTGAGCCATCTTCTCCAGACCATTAGGCAAAGATGGCTCATTGAAATCTCGCATTAATACGCCAAAAACGTCGTTTCCGTTGACCCGCACAGTGTACACGCCAACCTTCCCGAATATCGGGCAAATATGGCTCATTAATATCTATGTATATACCTGAACAGAATAGCAATACTACCTATACAGTGTGTCCCACTTACCATGCTCACCATGGGTATCTTTTTAACGGTGAGAGATACGAGGTCGGTTAAATGACACCAAATGTGGAGTTTGTCAAGGCCAACTATAATGTGAAAAAATATTTTGATGAAATCTATTCGCTTTTGTTTCATACGCAAAAAACAGATTTTGATTATTTTCATGTCTCCTCCGTAACTTCTTTATTCATGAAAATATTAAAATAGGAATTTCATATTCTCATGGCAGTTTTTCAAAGTGATTTCGAAAAAAATATTAAATTTATACCAACTCTTCTAGAATTTGAGATATCAGCACCAACTTCGGTTTTTCAAATGTAGGTCATAGCTCACTATGACTTAGTTACAGATAACTTTTTTTTCTCTTTCAGATGATATGTCGCAGTAATAGTTTTGTGTTGATTTGATTTATAAATTTCAACGAAAAAATCATGATCTCCGTCCTCAAAAATCCCCACTTACCAATTTTGAATGGAATCGGACCAAATCTTGTCCGCCATCTTGGAGCAGCCATTTTTTTTGATCTCAACAAAAATTCCATAACTCCGATTAACTTGAAATTTGGCAGGTGTTCATAATTTCGGTGACAATACATTATGGAATTGTTGTTGAAATAAAAAAAAATGGCTGCTCCAAGATGGCGGACAAGATTTGGTCCGATTCCATTCGAAATTGGTAAGTGGCGTTTTTGAGGTCGAAGATCATGATTTTTTTGTTAAAATTTATAAATTCAAGATGGCGGCTTCCAAATAATTTTTTGTTTTTGTATAAATGACGATAACTCCGTTGTTATCAACACAAAACTATTACTGCGACATATCATCTGAAAGAGAAAAAAAGTTTTTTGTAACTAAGTCATAGTGAGCTATGACCTACATTTGAAAAACCGAAGTTGGTGCTGATATCTCAAATTCTCGAAGAGTTGGTATAAATTCCATATTTTTTTCGTAATCACTTTGAAAAACTGCCATGAGAATGTGAAATTCCTATTTTAATATTTTCATAAATAAAGAAGTTACGGAGGAGACATGAAAATGATCAAAATCTATTTTTTGCTTATAAACAAAAGCGAATAGATTTTATCAAAATATTTTTTCACATTATAGTTGGCCTTGACAAACTCCACATTTGGTGTCATTTAACCGACCTCGTATCTCTCACCGTTAAAAAGATACCCATGGTATCGTGAGCATGGTAAGTGGGACACACTGTATTGGTCCATCTACCCAAAATCGCACAGGCTATAGATATTAGTTGGGAAAAAAACAATCAAATGCAAAATATCATTCACTGACAAGATATTGCTGAAAATATATTATTGTCGCTAGTATTTGTAGTTCGCCACATAAGTGTCGCAATTCTTGGTATTGAAAACAAAGGTTTCATGATGCATTATCAGAACACAATAACACCATGCGTGTTTTCGCACGTTTCACATACGAGAAAAGACAGGAGGAAGAACCACGAGACGAAGGAGCAAAAAACAGCTCGAGCCATCTTCCCAAGACTATTAGGCAAAGATGGCTCATTGAAATCTTGCATCTGGATATATGTATTTACACTTCAAAAACGTCGTTCCGACACCGTGTGCATGCCGTACGCCGGCCCGCACGCCGTCTCCCCCGTATTGCTCCTCGACGGGGGTAGAGATGGCGTAGCCGTTGTTCCTGCAGAACGGGACAGTCGAGGGTGGGGATTCCCTTTCGTGCGCGCACCAAGCGATAAAAAAAACCTGGATCTCTTTGTTATGAGATCTAGTTCTTTGTAACAACCGAGAAACGTGGCAGTCTCAACCAAAATGTGGTGCACACTGTAAGTACTCACTGCCTGAGGCATCTGGGTGCTCAGCGGACTGGATATCGTGATGAAGTTCAGCTCCTTGCTGCCGTAGTGTATGGGCATCTGCTTGCCTTGCCCCCGGTCGTCCTTGTTCCCGTAGCACTGGTCCACGAACTGCTGCAGCGTGAAGCCGCGCCACATCAGCACGCCTGCTTCCCGGTACTGGCCGTAGACGATGTCCTCGAGGTCCAAGGCGGCGGCGCTGCCTATCTGGGTGGCCTCCTCGCCGTAGTTGGTCATGTAGAAGGAAATTCGACCTTGTCTGCAGAAACCAACAAAAAAAGAGTCAAGTCAGGTACCATATCCATTTAGCACTTGTAACAGCTTGAGTTCATCAAACCGTTCATATTAAAAATTATCAAGACATTTCATCATTGCTATCACTGTTACACCAACCTCATTATAAAGATGATTCAGTATTATATGTTTGTTATATGTTCAATATTTGGAAATTAAATTCTTGTGCCTGTACGTCGGTTTAGGAAACGTAAGCAGGTTTTTTGGGTTAGGATAATATCGGTGCGATTGGCACCAAAGAAAGGGTATTTTTAATGTTCCCGACCTTACACACTCGACGTTCTGGGCACGTCCATTTTATGTCCGATTCAAGTCTGAACGTCCAGGACCTTTTTAAGACGCACTGAAAACGTCCATTTCTAGACGTACCGGGTACGTATGAGATTCCGATGTACTTAGAACTTCTCACTCTTTAGAAGTATTTTGACATATTTCATTTGTTAATATTATATCCAGTTCATTGTATCCATGACGAAGCATGCCATAGCTGATTGAAGAGTTACAAACAGTTGATTCTTTGTTGAGTGAACAGAGAGAATCATGCAACTGACCCTAGGCATCTTAATTATGATTTTTGAAGGGACCTATTAGTTCCCAATAAGGAATGTTTAGTTGATGAAAACATTAAATGTATTGCTTGTGCCAGGCCATATCTATGCCAATATAGCTGAACTTCGAAAAGATATAAACTCAGCTATTTCATATTGCGCCTAATCTATATGTGGCCTACTAGCAGAGGTGAAAACGAGCGAGATTTGACGAAGAGGAGCGTGAGAAAAATTAACAAGCGTCTAGCTAGACCAGCGAATCTTTGAAACGTCAAGGTTATCAGAAGGTTATTCGGGTTTATAAGACTTATAAGATGATATGAGGATGGAAAATATCTCTTCTGCATAAAAAAGAAAAGTACTTTCAATCTAACTTGTCCTAAATGAACCTTTTTACTAAAAAGTATATTTTTGAAAAATAATTTGATTGAAAAAAAAAATTTAAATTGATGCCTCGCAGAGGGATTGAACCCCAGTCACCACCGTGGAAGTCAGATACATAGTCCACTGAGGTATCGCTTTACTCGTTGTAGTCGTAGTTTATTAATATTGTTAGCGACGATGTAAATGAGAAGAACGCCTAAGAAATGCCTTATAACAAGCGACCTCGACGACTCATCGGTATGGTATTCGTAATCATCGTGTGATCGAAGATTCAAGCAAGTCTAGTTGACCAGTATCGTAGCTTCAGAACGAATCACTTGTCGATGTTGAATTTTTATAAACGGTCATATTTGTACAAGTCGTTCTGAGTGAATTAAAATGTGTTTGAGTGTTGAAATTGTGTCTACCTACGATGCCTCCATTCAGAATCTTATAATATAAAAAAGGAGGCAATATCATGTGCTGTGGGTAACGTCACTTGACCTTGAAAGATTCGCTGGTCTTGTTTCGCCAGGTACAAGTGAGCTCCAAGCTGAAATCAGTGGCGCAGTCTTCCAAACGTCCGAGGACTGAGTGGCATCGAAGTGTAATGCTGCTGGTCAAGCATACATGCCCTTCAGTAGGGAAAATTGTTAGAGGGTCTCCTAGAGCTGGACTGTTCGAAATTACCCGGCAAACGACGTTGCAACAAAGATGCGTTGAATGAGATTAACAGACTGAGAAACCTAGCCAGCGATAATTATAATAAGTGAAAAATAAATTGAAAGTGAAAAAAAATTCAAATGATTATCTACCAAGGACGAAAAACTATATATTATATATAGACGAATCTGCAAATTGATAGCAAAATCGGGCCGTCGACCTCAAACACTTATCCATGCATATGACGGTAATATTCATACGTGATAGATCTATCGGATTTCGTGAATAATAAATTTGACAACAGCAAATGACAGTTGTTGTCGTCAGCTCACTCCTCGCGCGGACCAGGGTTGCCAGTTTGATTTTTATTTTATTAGTAAATACTCCGTCAAAAATTCAGATGTATTTTATGCTGAACGAATTCCAAGAAAGGATAATGAAATAAATCCATGACGTCTAAACATTATGTACTTTCCGTAAACAGAAAATTAACCTATTTCCAACTAAATAGAAACAAACAACATTCTCATAAAAAAAATGACCATATTCCTAATTCTCAATTTAAAAATACACAAAAATATCACGAAATACAGTTACATCGGTACTTCTGAGATTTGAGTATATAAAAAACAGGAACGAATAGTAAAAATGAACAACAAAAATACAAAACAAATAAGAAAATTAAACGTAAGAAACAAACTGTTAAGACAGAGGTATATAAAAAAATTACTTGGATCTGAATCAGCTAAAGTATTGTCCTTTTTTGGTTTGTTCATATCATTAGTACCTATATGTAAATTTATAACTTATTTTGTAAAATTGATTTACACAGAGCGTGCCGAAATATCATGCCATTTATAAGATTATCTATATTATTATAATATTAACTAAAGAATAATAATAATATAGGTAATTATAATAATAAATAAGTGTCAAAATATTGTTCAGTAGGTTATGAAATGTTTCAGTAGATCAATATGCAACTCAGGAGATCTACTGAAAATCCAGTAGAACTGGCAAACCTGCAGCGGACGAAAAGTGTTTGCGAATGCAAAGTTAGTGCCTTCGGAAATAGTCGGGTTTTCGTTTGGAAATTTGAACGTAAAATATAATTTTCTATAGAGGTCGACGAAAAAAGCTTTTAATTATAAAACGCTCTAAAAAGCAGAAAATGAAATGTTCCTTTCAAATTTCAACTATCAACTCATAACCTCATATTATACACATAATTCAAAATGATTAGCAAAGGTTGTCGCCCGATTTACTTGTGTAAATAAACTAGTACTAATTCAATTATGTATAATCTGCTAAGTTTAAATTTTTGAAATTTCAATTCAATTAAATATTGTGTTCAATGAGGTTATGAGTTGACAGTTGAAATTTAAAAGGGAAAATTTAATTTTCTTCTTTCTAGAGCGTTTTTAAATAAAAGCTTTTTTCAAGTTTTTGTATTGACATTCTTATACCTTTGAGATTCGTAGAGTATTTTGTCCATTACGTTGAGCAACGTCATGTCTTTGTACATCTTGAGAATGGTTTCGTCCGGCAGTTTCGGCTCTTCGTCAGGATTTATTATGTTGCCTCTGCGGTCCATCACTCGGTATACTGGTATTGGCGCGTAGGAATGCTTCCCTGTGAAATCGAAGGATTCTGTCCATGATGTTTTGGCCCCGGGAAAAAGAGGTCCAGCTTCCGATGACAACGAACGCTGAAATAATTTCGAATATTTGTTTCATCATTTTCATATCTGTCACAAAATAAATTCGTCAAAGTTCATTTCAACCTTCCAACAACTTCTTTTTCATGGTCTGGTTCCCACGAAAAGGGATATCCTGTAATGTTCAGAGAACATCGTGAGAACCAAGGAAAATGAGGTAGGAATTGGTGTTCTCCTAAATTTCTGGAGGTTATATGCCTCGGGGAACACCTCCCTTGGCAATGTGTTCCAGAGCCTCGCTGTTCGTTGGATGAACGAGTCTTTGGAAAGAGATGTTCTGCAGGTGTCCAAAGTGACCACGAAGGAGTGCGAAGCCTCTACTAGACGGGTTAATCTCGCGGGGACTGCTAAGGGAGGAACAATTGTTGAAATTTCAGCATCGTCCATGGAAATATCTATGAAATAGAGCCAGATCACCAACTTTTTTACGGTGTTCCAGAGAAGTGAGTGAGTTTGTGAGCGAGGCATCACCCACGAGACGAATTGTCCTTTTTTGGACAGAATCCAACAGTTTCAGGGTATGTTTGGGTGCTGCACTCCAAATATGGGAACAGTATTCCAGGACAGGTCGGATCAGTGCCATATAGATCATAAGCAGCTGACTGGAAGTGAAATACCCCCTGGCCGGAAACAGAAAACCAAGTTTTTGGGATGCACTTTTAGCAATTGATCTCACGTGATTTTCCTCAGAAAGGTTATTGCTGATTAGTAGTACCAAGCATCGAAATGGATGTCTTCAAAGGTATGGTTACTCCTGACAAGCTTATGTTGGACACAGTGAGATCGGCTTTTCTAGAGAAAAGGCATGCTTGTGTTTTGTTTGCATTGAAATCTAGCAAGTTATTGGATCTCCATTCGAGAATTGTTGCCAAGTCCATATTTATGTTGTCAACATTTCTCCCTCGTTCGTTTATTTTTTTTTATATTTTGGAAGATTTTTTTAAACGAATACTTATTTTTTTTCAAACAAAATGTAGCACTGAAACTACCATTGAAGCAAAAAATCCCAGCCGTTCAAAAGTTAACCAGGAGGAGAGGTGATTTTATGGACACAGTAATAATAATTTTTCATATACAGGGTGTATCTAAATAGCACAGAAAAAATTCGAGGGGTGATTCCTTGTGATATTTAATGATATTGAGATACAGAGGGTATTAATATTTCTATGAAAAACCTTTTTTTTATTCATTACTCAGTTGTCTTTCAATCAATTCCAATAAAACGTTGTGGTTTTATTAATAGTAATATAAGGCTTCTTCTGGTGCAATTAGATTCTAAATTATATTCCCAGTGGCGTCACAGTGGGTGAATTTATCGATATTTATGGTGAATGTCATTGTACGCCACCGGTTTTTCTGATTGAACTAGCTCCAGCCTAATTTCTGAGGAAACAATAAAAATTCGATTTGACACCGAATTTCAATGTATAGGCGTGTTTTCCAGACTTCTATTGAGAATACTCAATAACTCTAATTAGAATTATTTTGAAATTTTGGGACTTTGTCAGTCTCGAACCATACTGAATTTTTTTGCACCATGAAAGCTTATACAGGAGGGTTATAAATGAGAAGAATTAGTTCTTTCAACTTCAACATCCTGTATCTCAAAAACGGAGCAAGTTAGGACACAATTTTTTTCTACGACTGCTATGAAAAGTAGCGTAATTCTCATGGCTTACTCAATTTCAAAACCACGAATTGCTCATACCTGTGAGAAATATTATTTCTCACAGCACTTTGCCAACACCACGCATAGTAGGTACCTTTTATATGGAGAATCAACTAAAATCGACAAAAACTTAGTTGGCCGCTGTTGTCACGAACAACTGTCAACAGAATTTATTTCAATTTTTGAGGTAGTTATCAATCGTGTTTCGATAAAAAATCGCAATTTCATTGAATATTAGTAAGACATAATATACATATTTGTACCAGTGATAGGTAAATAATATGGAAACTTATGAAAGCAGTGACGATTTTGACAATACTCCACCAGAAATATTGGAACAAGCGGCAAAAGTAACATTAGATTTGTTGCCGGAAATTTCCCGAAAGAAGTATGAATTGGCATATGGGAAATTCATGGAATGGAGAAGAAATACGAAAATAAAATCGTTTTCGGAAAGTGTACTTTTGGTATACTTCGAAGAAATGTCGAAAACTTTGAAGGCGTCAACACTTTGGTCACAATATTCGATGTTGAAAAGTACCATCAGTATTAAACATAACATTGATATATCCACGTATCAAAAATTACGTGCATTTTTGAAAAGAAAGTCTGACAATTACTTCCCAAAGAAATCAAACATATTAACAGCCGACCAATTGCAGAGATTTTTAAAAGAAGCTCCAAACAAGGAATATCTACTAATAAAGGTGGGTTTATTATTTAAATTGAACTATTTTTCGAATTTCTTCCGCTTTTTTCCTCGAATTAACAGCTTTTTATAGTTAGTGGGTGTATTCAGTAGGTAAAAATAATTAGATAATCTTCAAAAAGTCAATTTCATATTGTGGAAGATCAGTATATGCCTATGAATAAATATTTTAATAACTACTCCGTGGTGTAGTGGTAGTGCTTCCGCTTAGGATACTAGCGGCCCGGGGTTCAATACCCGGCCAGGGATGATATATTTTTTTAATTATATAAATGATTTTACATCCTGATATTTTTATTTGTAGGTTGCAGTGGCTATTGGCGTAGCAGGGGCATGTCGTAGAGATGAACTGTGGAAATTAAAAGTCGATGATTTAGAGGATCTAAATTCGGCTTTGTTGGTGAAATTAGATAACACCAAAACAAAGAAGCCAAGAACTTTCACTGTAACGGGGGAATTTTATAATATATATAAAAAATATGCCGCTCTTCGACCGAATGATTTGGCAGAAAAACGTTTCTTCTTGAATTACCAGAACGGAAAATGTACTAGACAAGTAGTCGGCATCAACAAATTTGGTAGTATGGCAAAGAGAATTGCAATTTTTTTAAAATTGGAAAATCCCCATTTATATACAGGACACTGCTCCAGACGTTCTTCGGCAACAATTTTAGTAAATGCAGGAGGTGACATATTAACCTTAAAGCGCCATGGAGGATGGCAATCCAGTACCGTGGCAGAAGGATACGTCGGAGACTCTATTAAAAATAAAATGGACGTTGCAAATAAAATCGTCGACTCTATTGAAAAACCAGTAGAACTATTCACTGAAATGGAGACAGAAAATGCACCACTGTACATAAATAATCAACCTTCAACTTCTACTTCTACAATTAATATAACAGAAAATTTACTCAAAAACAATGACTTTCCTGGTTTGACCATACAAAATTGTAAGAATTTCACAATTAACTATAATTTCAAATGAATAATTCAACTGTTAAGAGGTAGGAAACTTGTTATTATGTTATGTTATTTTAGTTCTGCTATAACCCATAAAAAATAAAAATTGAGTTACATTGTTCTTTGAATATGTGCAGTCGTAGAAAAAGTATAGTGTGCAACATGTGGGGAAAAGTACTTTCCTCACTCGTGTGTTTGCGGCACTCGCCTTTCAGGCTCGTGCCACAAACTTCCACACTCGTGAGAAAAGTTGAACTTTTCCCACTTGTTGCACAATATACTATATGAACTTTAATTGGCAAGAATATCACAAGGAATCACCCCTGTAATTCTTTTGGTGTTATTTAAATACACCCTGGATATCAACTCGCCTTGATTTCCTATATTCACCATTGGGCTATGTGAGTCTCCTTATGAATCACCCTGTTTGTGTCACATTCAATACGAAAGTGTGACACGTATCGTTGAATTAATAATTGAAATACTTATCCGAATGTGGAATGATGGACAGGGTGTTCCATTGGAATAAATCGTCTGTTGATTTTTTTATGTGTGAGTACCCAGGCAACCAGATGACGAATGATCACGTCACTGTGACGTCCCTAATTGGTGATTTTTCGTCAGAGACGTCACACACCAATTTATGACGTCAATATGACGTTCTTTCTATGACGGGATAATCACGTCATCGTTTCGACGTCGAGTGAACGTCACTAAGATATGTAAAAGGAGACGTCAGTTTCATGACGTTGGAGGGACGTCCTGTCGACGTCCATTTTTCCCAGACCTCTGAACCATTTTTGTTGGGTGACAAAGAATGCATCAATATATATGATTCAACAAAGTGAAGCCAAATTCGCCATCATCCTTTCCATTGCTATCAAACTATTCTTTGTTTGCTTACATCTCGCCGGCACAAATTACATAATGTTTGCTACAAATACGAGTAACTGATTGCATTCTGATGGAGATGCGTATACTGAAGTATACTAAGGATAGCGCTCTGCTGAATAGGCGATGGAATGAACATGACACAGGAGGGACCCACCAAGCAGATCGAAATAATACGAATACTTTTATTTTATAGAAACGAGGAGAGAAAATCCCAAAGAATCAAGTAAGATGAATGTACCACCTACTCGATTAACCTACAGACAGTATTTAGGAGACTACTTCTTCTAAATAATCTGAATAATTTGAACGATCTATCATTGTCAGTTTTTGATATACAGGGTGAAACTCAAAGTGAGGTTCTTCATTCAATAGGGTGTATATCTCGCCAAATAAGTAGTTTGGCCAAAAATTGTTAACGTGAAAAATGTAAGATAACGGAGGAGTTTTTGTACAATAAAAATCTAATTTTATTATTCTAACATTTATTAGAGAAAATATGATAAACAAATCACTTCAAAACGATAACTAATAGGATGATAATGTGAAGAGGTATTTGATTAATTTATCTGATGAAATAATGCAACTGTAGGGTATAGGTATCTAATGCTAGACTTATAACGGTTTTTTTGTGTTTTTTTGTGAAAATATATACGAAATGTCCCATAGTTGGAGTCTTCTTTACACCTTTATATACCTGTACCTCCGTTATCTTGAATATTTTATATCAGCAATATTTTGCCAAACAACTTATTCTCGTCAGATATATATATATCTTGTCAAAAAGAATACCTCACTTTCAGATTCATCCCGAAAAGTATGACCAAAGTTTAGGTCCATTTTGTCGATGTTACGATATTAGAATAAATCAAATAATATCAAGAAGCAGGAGTTGCAATAAATCGTTTAAATTCCGAATTTCCTAAGTAAACTTTTTTAAAATTCGAACAAATAAGCCTATTTTTAGCGATTGATTAAAAAAATTGAATTTTTGACATATTGCGAAAGTTACGTAACCCCGACCGAGTAGGCCACCTACTTTAAAGTAAAACTTAACGCCTAAGTCGATTTTCAAAATGACTTATAATCAAAAGTTTGCCACCATTATGAATTATACTCTGTATAAGGGAATATTAATAAATAGTCAATGACACCTTTTCCTGTAAACTTAACTTGTGATATGAGTGTTTGGCATTTACCAACTACGATCCTTTTGTCGTCAACCTCAGAATCTGTCGAACAACTCTTTACCAAGACTCGTGTGTCTATGGAACAGCAAAGCTTTAAAATTTTTTGTCAAAGGAAGTGATTCCAAGAACTTATAATCTTCAAAAGTTTTAAAAAATCCAATACCTACATTCTCTCCCTATCTCCTCTATGGTACGCACGATATTCCACGAACATTATAAGGATTTCCTGTCGTGTGCTCTAAGAAGTTAAAAAAAACTTATCGCGAAATTTTTGAGAAAACTGGAAAATATGGATACATTCCACTTCGTCCTGGAGCTAACTCACCAAACAATTTCCTGATATCGACAACATTTTTCAATAACCTATACCTAAAATATTCGTACGTAATTGTAGGAGTAAATCTTGTCGATCTAATTCTGAATTATCGATTACCTATTTATTCAATTTGATTTTTCATCTAATTATGGTTAGTGTTTTCATATCTTAGAAATTAAATTTTGGCAAATGAAAATCAAAACACAATCAATGACGACTGTATCTGGCTAAGCGAAAATAAACGAAAACAAATATCAAACACATAAAATAGTATAAATATACCATAATATACTGAGTCAAAATCATATAGGTCATAGGACTCATAGGTATAGTTACACATAATTTCACGTATTTCATTCATCTTCTAGATCTAGAATGCCTATATTACCTATGAAACAACATATATTTTAGCTAAGTACAATTATTGAATCATCCAAAATATGCCTACATTAAAAATGACGATGAAGAATCTCCTTCATTTTTGGTTGAACACTGTTTATAATATAATGTATAGAGGTAAAGATACTAACCTTAACATGACGTCTTACAAAACAATTTCTAATGTTTTTGCTCAGCACACTAACACTTCTGTTCATCACTGACATTTTGGTGTTTCATGGATATTCTACAATAATGACTTCCATTTGGGTGAATGATGAAACATTGATAATTCTATCTTCGGCCTTGACCTTTTGATATCTCAGAGCTGGATTTACTATTGTCACATAATAAGCCGACATTTTCCTATATAATGTATAGTAGTCATTGTTTTGCTTTAAATGAACCAATTGAATCATCATTATCTACCTACCTGGCTACCAGCAACTGGATAATAGCAATAATATTCATGGAAGCGTTCAATTATCTTTCAATTATACAAATACTTATACCTTCAGTAATTTTTATTGAAATTTAGGGGAATCAATGGACACATAATGAAAGAAACGTTATTCATCTTTAATGACCAGTAACAAAAGGGTGTGTATAATTTGCGGACTGGGAAAAAAAATGCTGCGGAATGTCTATTTCCAGCAAACAAATCGTTGTTTTTACTGCATATCTCTATTCAGCTCATCGAACTACACGATAACTTTACTCGTGTGTTTCTTCATAAAAATTTGCGGACTGGGTATTTTTGCAATTCAAATCAACTCAATTTTATCAAAAATCGATTCATCTCATGAGAATACAAGATTAAAAGTTCTGGAAATTTTTCCCTAGCCCCCGTGGGGAGCACTTGACTCGTGTGTTTTTTCATAAAATTTTGCGGACTTGGTATTTTCGTAAGTCGAATCAACTCAATTGAATCAAGAATCGATTTATCTCTTGAAAATACACGATGATAAGTTCTTGACATTTTTCTCTAGCCCCCCTGGGAAGCACTTTACTCTTGTTTTCCATTAAATCTTGCGGACTGGGTATTTTTGCAAGTCAAATCAACTTAATTTCACCAAAAATCTGTTCATCTCATGAAAATACACGATGAAAAGTTCTCGAAATCTTTCCCTAGCCCCCCAGGAAAGCACATTACTCGTGTTTTTTCATAAAATCTTGCGGACTGGGTATTTTCGTAAGTCAAATCAACCCAATTTTACCAAAAATCGATTTATCTCATGAAAATACACGATGATAAGTTCTTGAAATTTTTCTCTAGCCTGCCTGGGGAGCACTTTACTCGTGTGTTTTTCCATAAAATCTTGCGGACTGGGTATTTTTGCAAGTCTAATCAACTTAATTTCACCAAAAATCTGTTTATCTCATGAAAATACACGATGAAAAGTTCTCGAAATCTTTCCCTAGCCCCCCAGGAAAGCACATTACTCGTGTGTTTTTTCATGAAATCTTGCGGACTGGGTATTTCTGCAAGTCAAATCATCTTAATTTCACCAAAAATCTGTTTATCTCATGAAAATACACGATGAAAGGTTCTCGTAATCTTTCCCTAGTCCCCCAGGAAAGCACATTAGTCGTGTGTTTTTTCATAAAATCTTGCGGACTGGGTATTTTCGTAAGTCAAATCAACCCAATTTTACCAAAAATCGATTTATCTCATGAAAATACACGATGATAAGTTCTTGAAATTTTTATCTAGCCCCCTAGGAAACACTTTACTCCTGTGTCTTTCCATAAAATCTTGCGGACTGGGTATTTTTGCAAGTCAAATCAACTTAATTTCACCAAAAATCTGTTTATCTCATGAAAATACACGATGAAAGGTTCTCGAAATCTTTCCCTAGCCCCCCAGGAAAGCACATTACTCGTGTGTTTTTTCATAAAATCTTGCGGACTGGGTATTTTTGCAAGTCAAATCAACTTAATTTCACCAAAAATCTGTTTATCTCATGAAAATATACGATGAAAAGTTCTCGAAATTTTTCCCTAGCGCCCCAGGAAAGCACATTACTCGTGTGTTTTTTCATAAAATCTTGCGGACTGGGTATTTTTGCAAGTCAAATCAACTCAATTTCACCAAAAATCTGTTTATCTCATGAAAATATACGATGAAAAGTTCTCGAAATTTTTCCCTAGCCCTCCAGGAAAGCACATTACTCGTGTGTTTTTTCATAAAATCTTGCGGACTGGGTATTTTTGCAAGTCAAATCAACTTAATTTCACCAAAAATCTGTTTATCTCATGAAAATATACGATGAAAAGTTCTCGAAATTTTTCCCTAGCCCTCCAGGAAAGCACATTACTCGTGTGTTTTTTCATAAAATCTTGCGGACTGGGTATTTTTGCAAGTCAAATCAACTTAATTTCACCAAAAATCTGTTTATCTCATGAAAATATACGATGAAAAGTTCTCGAAATTTTTCCCTAGCCCTCCAGGAAAGCACATTACTCGTGTGTTTTTTCATAAAATCTTGCGGACTGGGTATTTTTGCAAGTCAAATCAACTTAATTTCACCAAAAATCTGTTTATCTCATGAAAATATACGATGAAAAGTTCTCGAAATTTTTCCCTAGCCCTCCAGGAAAGCACATTACTCGTGTGTTTTTTCATAAAATCTTGCGGACTGGGTATTTTTGCAAGTCAAATCAACTTAATTTCACCAAAAATCTGTTTATCTCATGAAAATATACGATGAAAAGTTCTCGAAATTTTTCCCTAGCGCCCCAGGAAAGCACATTACTCGTGTGTTTTTTCATAAAATCTTGCGGACTGGGTATTTTCGTAAGTCAAATCAACCTAATTTCACCAAAAATCGATTTATCTCATGAAAGTACACGATGATAAGTTCTTGAAATTTTTCTCTAGCCTGCCTGGGGAGCACTTTACTCCTGTGTTTTTCCATAAAATCTTGCGGACTGGGTATTTTTGCAAGTCTAATCAACTTAATTTCACCAAAAATCTGTTTATCTCATGAAAATACACGACAAAAAGTTCTCGAAATCTTTCCCTAGCCCCCCAGGAAAGCACATTACTCGTGTGTTTTTTCATAAAATCTTGCGGACTGGGTATTTTCGTAAGTCAAATCAACCCAATTTTACCCAAAATCGATTTATCTCATGAAAGTACACGATGATAAGTTCTTGAAATTTTTCTCTAGCCTGCCTGGGGAGCACTTTACTCGTGTGTTTTTCCATAAAATCTTGCAGACTGGGTATTTTTGCAAGTCTAATCAACTTAATTTCACCAAAAATCTGTTTATCTCATGAAAATACAAGATGAAATGTTCTCGAAATCTTTCCCTAGCCCCCCAGGAAAGCACATTACTCGTGTGTTTTTTCATAAAATCTTGCGGACTGGGTATTTTCGTAAGTCAAATCAACCCAATTTTACCAAAAATCGATTTATCTCATGAAAGTACACGATGATAAGTTCTCGAAATTTTTCTCTAGCCTGCCTGGGGAGCACTTTACTCCTGTGTTTTTCCATAAAATCTTGCGGACTGGGTATTTTTGCAAGTCTAATCAACTTAATTTCACCAAAAATCTGTTTATCTCATGAAAATACACGATGAAAAGTTCTCGAAATCTTTCCCTAGCCCCCCAGGAAAGCACATTACTCGTGTGTTTTTTTCATAAAATCTTGCGGACTGGGTATTTTCGTAAGTCAAATCAACCCAATTTTACCAAAAATCGATTTATCTCATGAAAATACACGATGATAAGTTCTTGAAATTTTTCTCTAGCCTGCCTGGGGAGCACTTTACTCGTGCGTTTTTCCACAAAATCTTGCGGGTATTTTTTCAAGTAAAATCAACTTAATTTTACCAAAAATCGAATCATTACATGAAAATTCACGATGAAAATTTTTCGAAATGCTTTTCTAGCCACCCTGATGGGGAACACTTTACTCGTATGTTTTTTCATAAAATCTTGCGGACTGGGTATCTGTTTATGTTCGGTGCAAGTGAAAAAAATCAGAAACTTTTTATCGTGTATAGTTCAATGAGCTGAATCCAGATATGCAATAAAGACAACGTTTTTTTTTTGCTGCAAAGAGTCAGTCCGTAGCATTTTATTCCAGTCCGCAAATTATACACATCCGTAACAAAACATTTTTCGAACACAGAACACATCATCTCCTAATTAGCGCGGGGTGTTTCGGAAATAGAAGCGATAAATGAAATGGGTAATTGAAGAAAAAATAACGAAATAAAATTGAAGGTATTTTTTTTGAAAATACTCAATTTTGAGATTCATCAGCGGAATTGTTGGTAACATATTTTTCAAACACGGGTCATTGACTATCGATTAAATTTTTATTTTAGGTTCCTAATAGTGGAATTTTAAGTGCAGTGATATTTTGGGGCAAATCAACTGATTTTTCCTTACTACCAGGTACCTGTATTAAAATAATAAATACTGATGAGTATTTATCTGGAGAAATTCATATTCCACCGCCTCAATTCATAAAAAAAGTGGAAATATCAACATAACTAAGAGCACGATGTTCTTCGAACATTATAGGGGTATCCTTTCGTGCGCTCCAATAGATAAAGAAAACGATAGCATCTGGAATATAGCGCTGACACCGTTCAATCGCGACATGTTATCTAAAAGTGACTAGACCTACACGGAAAAAAAGGAATTGTTGAATCAAGCAATACTTAATCGAATGAAGCAAATAAAAGTGTCATATATGCACGACAAAATATAATCATGAAATGAGTAGATCTATATCTTGTTTCAGAGCGAATTTGAAGTTTGAATTGAGTAAATATGTCTTGCATGAACTCTGGATCTTATTCAATCAAGCACATCCATGAATTGTTTATGAAGAGATATTGAATTGGCTCAAACAATCATTTTGTTTGATTCAAAATGACAAGAGATAATGATTCAATCAAATATTTAGTTAATTCAATGAAGTATTTGGTTGATTCAAAGAAATATTTGGTTGATTCAATGAACTATTTGGCTGAATCAATAAAATATTTGGTTAATTCAATGAAATATTTGGTTAATTCAATGAAATATATTGTTGATTCAATGAAATATTTCGTTGATTAAAGAAAAACTGTATTTCCATTCGACAAATTGTTTTGTTGAACCAAATTCAGTATCAATCCGGGAGTTTTCTGACTAGCATAGATCTCCAGACATTACTTCTCTTTAGCTGATGCAAAACTATTTCGAATTGCTAATCATCCTAAGTTCGATTTATCCAGCTGTTATTTCAAACACGAAGAATCAG